TTCTTTTTAAACAAATGACTTAGTGATATCTCTTCTGAGATGTATAGCCATATCACGTATTTGGCCCATCCTCTACCTGTAAGGAACAATTGGATATCCTATATGGTACATAAAAAGATATTCAGGTGGACCTTAACAATATATATATATATATATATATATGTATATGCTGGATTTTGGTCTTGGATCGGGTGATGTTACACACGTTTAATTTCTGTAAGCAGGACTAGCCGTTTCTCGGCATCCCGTCCTGCCCCTTTCCCCGCCCCCTTTGACGCCTACTCTCCCTTTACGTCGACCAGACCGAGATAAAAAATGGGAGGAGCATTGGTGCCCTCCTCTCTCCGTCCTTCAGACTCCGCCTTCAAATGCCCACGTGAGCTTTGATGCACGCATGGATGTACCGCCTAGTTTTCTAGGCATCAGACGGACAAATTTTCTCTCTGCCCATACCACGCCCCATGTACACACCGGCGGACATTCACCAGATGATTTGGGGAGTTCTGGGATTGGTTGACAACGGTTTAAAAACCATTTCATTCACAGAGGTATTTTTAGCCCCTGACGAAGGTGCATTAGACGCACCGAAACACGCGTCGGGTTTTAAGTTTAACACTTTTTTTTTGTTCACTATGGTAGCACTGGCGATTTGATTTTTCTTTATTATTTTCTCAGCACTGAGCTATTTTCTTTGAAGGGATTCTACTTAGAAGCAGCTGTCTCCTATTTAGGGAGAGCATAGAACACCCACGAAGGTGTTTCCTTTAGGAGTTGTAGGGATTTTTTACTTTATTTCTTATCTTGCTGGAGATGCTGTCTTTACTGGGAACATTCCCATATTTAACTAGGGACAGCACACTACACCCTTGAAGGTGTCTCATGTAGGAGATATATGTAGGATTTTTCTCCAATGTGTTCTAATTTAGGTGGTGAATTTTGTATATATTTATATACTTTGTCCTTCTAAGTACCTGCTAATTAGTCATTTACTGCCCCCCACTCAGTCCTTGGGGATCCTACTATTATCTACTACTCTAAGGCTCCAGCCAATCCCTCCTTAGAATCCTTGATATATGGTATTTTCTCTTCCCATATATCTTTAGTGCCCCCACCTTCTCCTTTTTTTAGTATAATTAATAAAGCAATTTTTGTTCAGGTTGGGGCACTTCCTGGGATGACTCTACAATATATCTATATATACCATATATTAGTAGACTAGATATTTGTGTCTATACGTTTCTCAGTGCTGTGGGTGTAGTTCAAATATATATAATTTTCCTATTCATTGTATTTAAAACCAGTTTTGAGACTCTTTCTTCTCTCTATTTTTTTTCTTATCTTTAAATACTTTAACTAGGGTACAAGCCCTTTATTGGTGGATCTGGAACCACCACCCTGACCTTTAGTGTGTTCTACATTTCTCTCCTTAGGGTGAGTTTGTGGACACACTCTCATTATTCTATTTACTGAATCAATGCATCTTTATGGGGAGCAATAAGCGTCTTCATGCAGAGAGTGGAGATGCTGAACGTCAGTGGTGCACAATATGTTGTACCAACCCAGTGACAGCCACTAGAGGTGTTCTTATGAAGTAATGTAAACACTACCTTTTCAGTACAAAGAAAAAGTGATCTGTGCAGTGTAAAAAGGTGCTTAATGATAAATACACAAAAGATGTACAGCAGCTCAACACACGTGTAAAATATCCCAACTTTTCACAAATAAATATGTCAAAAATTGAACCCGGTGGAACACACCGCCAAAAAGAGACTCACTCCCCCACTGGTAGGATGTAGGTGGTGAAGGTCACTTTATTTTATTTACTTTTAACCTGGTCATCAAGAATTTTGGAGTATTTATTCACCCAAGAATCCCAGGTGGGGATTATACCACCCACGCTATTATAGTGAGCAGTATACCCTGCTCACTTAAATGTATTATACCTTGCTTATACCAACCTGTTAAATACTGTAACCAGAGAGCACTATCTTTGGTTTTCTCTCTTCCCCCATACCGAGGACCTTCACCACCTACCAACACCTACATCCTACCAGTGGGGGATTGACGCCACTGAATGCCAGTTATACCTGAGCTTGTACTAGCTCTCTAATAGGTCAGTAGGATTACTACCATCGCTGCTGATCTAATTTTACCAATACCAGAGACAGATTACACTATTGGAATGTTTTTCCCATTTACATGCTCCTACTGAACTTGAACATCCGACTACCTCAGAACCTCTACGTTCTATATATCTATACTGCACTCAAATCCTTCAGTCAACTTGGACTGTTTTACCTATATGTCTTATAACCAGGACTATTCCATTTCCAATTGTTTGCCTTTCAGTATGTAAGTACACCATTGGTTTTATTATATTACATCATTTGTTTTTATTGTGGCGCGACCTATAATTTTTGTTTTTATATTTGGAATTTTTGATGGTCTGTGAGGGAACATCATATCCTTAGGTTGCCGCCTACCCTTCACTTATTTATCTTAGCTTTCTACTGGCCACTAAGCGCTGATCCAACAACTGTTTGTCCATTTTCTTTCAGGAAGTGTTCCGGAGGATTGGAGGAAGGCAGATGTGGTTCCTATATTCAAAAAGGGTTCAAAATCCTTGCCTGGAAATTATAGACCTGTGAGCTTAACTTCTGTGGCTGGTAAAATATTTGAAAGGTTATTAAGGGATAATATTCAAGAATTCCTTGAGAAGAACATGGTTATCAGCAAAAATCAGCATGGTTTTATGAAGCACAGGTCATGTCAAACTAACTTGATTGCGTTCTACGAAGAAGTAAGTAGAAGTATAGATCAGGGTGTTGCCATGGATGTGATCTATTTGGATTTTGCCAAGGCATTTGATACAGTTCCACACAATAGATTAGTGTTCAAACTCAAGGAAATCGGTCTAGATGAAAATGCTTGTTCTTGGGTAGAACATTGGCTTAAAAACAGAGTACAAAGAGTTGTCATTAATGGTAAATTTTCAAGCTGGACAGAGGTGGCAAGTGGTGTCCCTCAGGGGTCTGTTCTGGGACCCCTTCTATTTAACATGTTTATAAATGATCTTGAAGACCGCATTGAAAGTCATGTTTCAGTGTTTGCAGATGACACCAAACTTTGTAAAACAATACAATGTGAGCAAGATATTACTTTGCTGCAGAGGGACTTAGATAGACTGGGGGACTGGGCACTCAAATGGCAGATGAAATTTAATGTTGAAAAATGCAAAGTTATGCACTTCGGCATAAAGAATACACAAGCAACGTATACCCTTAATGGAAGCGAATTAGGGATAACAACATATGAAAAGGACTTGGGAATTGTTATAGACAACAAGCTATGCAACAATGTGCAATGTCAATCAGCAGTGGCCAAGGCCAGTAAGGTATTGTCATGCATGAAAAAAGGCATTCATTCTTGGGACAAGAATATAATTTTGCCTCTTTATAAATCACTGGTAAGACCCCATATTGAATATGCTGTGCAATTTTGGGCACCTGTTCTAAAGAAGGATATTATGGCACTAGAAAAAGTGCAGAGGCGGGCTACAAAATTAATAAAAAGGAATGGAACATATCGGCTATGAAGAAAGGTTAACAAATTTAAACCTATTTAGTTTAGAAAAACGTCGCCTGAGAGGGGATATGATAACATTATATAAATATATTCGTGGCCAATACAAACCATTGTGTGGAAATCTATTCACAAACCGGACTTTACATAGGACACGAGGCCATGAGTTTAGACTGGAAGAAAGAAGATTTCGTCTAAGGCAAAGGAAAGGTTTTTTTACTGTTTTTTTAATGTCCATGCTTTAGATCAGAGAAAATCAAACCAGATATCAAATATTTAGTTTCGCAGCATCAAGGATCTCATTAATTAACGGTAATTTCAATTTACTTTATTGTTTTCTCATTAAACTTTATAAAGTTAAAAACATTATAAACATGCATAAAGTAGAAATAAAAAGATAAATGTACGTACTTTTTTATTTTATTTAAACACCCTCCTTTCTAAAAAATCTTCCGCACTTGTACGAAAAACTGGTGGGTGGTAAGGAAATTTTTCCATCAAGAAAGATGCATTAGTGGGTGGGAGGTAGAAAAAGGTTGACTACTCCTGATCTATACAATCCTGTACTAGGGTATTTTGTCCCTTTTTTGTCTCCATATATCTGCAAACCATTGGGCTGAGAATCTAGAGAAGGTGTGATATGACCTTACATACCCCTGCCGTAGAGACTTGAGCCTATTCTAGTAAGGCTCTATACCATGTGAGTTTGATATATATCTCCTCCACACCAGATCCTGGTTTTGTTGACATACTGCACCATTATGTGTTCAATTTTTCTGTTTTTGACAATACTGTCTCTATATATCCCCACAAGTGGGAAAATAGTGTCATCTGACCTCCCTAAAATATAGTGGGTTAAGCAGATTTCATTAGCACTACCTTTTCAGTGTTTACATTTAAAAGGCTGCAGACACCAGAGCAACTACATTAAAGGGACTCTCCAGTGCCAGGAAAACAAACCATTTTCCTAGTACTGCAGGTTCCCTCTCCCTCCCACCACCCATCCCAGGTTGCTGAAGGGGTTACAACCCCTTCAGTGACTTAGGAGGTGTCACGAGCGTGGGCTATAGGCCCAGCCGAGACAGTGGGGAGAGTGTGGAAGTGACAGGGTTAATGACACCAGACCCCTGGTTACCTGTTGCTAGTCCCAGCAACCACTCAATTAACCCCTGCAATCCCTTCTACACTAACCCCCTTAGTACACACTTTACTGCCACCACCAAGACTTTTAAACCCGGGCGTCTTAGGTTACCCCACACACAGGAGAATTATAGTATCACAGTTCTACTTTTACTGATAAAACATATATAGTTAACCCTTTTTGGTAACGTGTTTACCTGAGCTTTCCTCTGGAGAGTGAAGCTCATAGAGAACAGAGACACAAGCTGATTAAGTAAACATTTAATCTGACAAAAAGGATTCACAGTGCTGAGTACAAAATACAGAAATAAATGACATACAGATAACAAATTGCAAAACAGTACATAAAATAAAATAGGAGAAAACACAAGAAATTCCTTACATGTATTTACCCCATATAGAATTCTTTCTGGAGTGTTAGATGGTATAGGTCTCCTAGAAGTTGCTGACAAAAGAAAAATGAATAACTGACTGGATAGTCCAGCACCCTCATTAATATATCTAAACTAGTTGTTTCTCAGTGGGCAGACCCCTGGGGGGGGATCAGAGGGGGTTGGTCTGGCAGTCTATTGCCCACTCTATGAAATTCCTTGTGTCCAGCTCTGGTGATGGCTATCTAGATGTTTTATGGTCTAGGCCTGGTGCCAGATCAAAGACCACAATAAAAGTCATCCCAAGGTTTAGAAAAAAAAACAACTCTTAACATATATCAATACATCAAACACCAACTCATGCTTTTGGCATGACAGGAGGGTCCACCCAAACTCCTCCCACGCCGATGTCATCTGGCGGGGAGACCTATTGAGCATGCACGGCCACCAGTGGGAGAGACCTAATTCGCATGACCTGCCAATAGGAAAGCATTGAAAAGTGCTTTCAGATGGGGATTTCAGCGACGCTGGAGGTCCTCACATAGGGTGAGGACGTCCAGTGACGCTATAGCACACGAAATGTGCCCTCTAGTGGCTGTCTAGTAGACATCCACTAGAGGAGGAGTTAACCCTGTTTATGAAAACTGCAATAATTACACTTGCAGGGTTAAGGGTAGTGGGAGTTGGCACCCAGACCACTCCAATGGGCAGAAGTGGTCTGGGTGCCTGGAGTGTCCCTTTAAGCTGTAGTTGTTCTGGTGACTATAATGTCCCTTTAACTAACTAGAACATGTGACAGAACCCTTATTGCAGCCTGATTCACATTTAAAGTTGTCAAATCAATCGTTTTTCATAGTGAAGCATTGTGAAACATGGCGCATGTGAAATGATCCATGCAATCTGTCAATTTAATACATCTAATAGAGAACGAATGGATGCACACCATGCGCTCAACATCATCATGCATTCAGCAAAATGGTTACAGATATAATAATAGTTACTGAATCTAGTTCAGTCAAAAAGCCCCTAGCGAAAAGGTAATTGCAACATGTACGGTTTCTCAAACATGTCAATTTCCACTTGCAATGCTGCACGGGCAGCATCTTTGCCCCAAAATCACTTGAAGGAACACCATCCACAAACACATGCCCGCTGTAGTTGTTATGATGTCAAGAAATCCTCTAAGAGTACGTAGTCACATAGTTTGACAAATTACTTGGATCCTCCAAGGCACCTACAGCCCTTCTTCTGAAAGGACAATCTACTTATCTCCACTGAGCTAACTGGGGCTACTCTCAGCCAGTGAGAGGCGTCTTGTATTACGCCGTGCTTCTTCAGGAGTCAGCCAGACGCGGTGTTGCTGTCCAGGTAAATTTTCAAACCATTCTTAAAAGGTTTTTGCCATGGTGCTCCTGGCACCATGACCTCTGCAGCTGTAGTGCTTGCAGTTTTCCTTTAGGGTGGCATGGTTTGATTTTACTTTCTTTGCAACTGTAGGAGTGCCTGACGGATGCTTTGACTCTTAAAGTGACACTATAATCACCCACACCAAGTGTCCTGGGTGCAGAGTCCCTGTCCCCCTGAGTCCTGCAATGCAAAACATTGCAGTTTTAAAGAAATTCCGATAATTACTTCGCAGGAATAATTAAGCCTGTCACTCAGACAGCCACTGGGGGCCCCCCTAAATGACGCTGGCATCCGGCATTAGTAAAATCCAACTAGGAAAGTATCAAAGCAATGATTTCCTATGGGGAGAATCCAATGTGTTCGCGGTGCGTGCGCACTGCCCTCCTCGTCTAATAACATCAGAGAACGCGGAGCGTCAAGGAATAGGGCGAGTAAAGATTTTTTTTTTTTACCCTTTAGTTGCTATGGGGAGAGAGGGCAGCCAGTGTTCACTATAGTGTAATGAACACACATTTCTTTTACTGGGGTGTTGGAATGGGGATTGCCAGGGCACCATAACCACTGCCGCCCGCTGTCGTAGTTTTGTTGCTCAGTCCCTTTAAGAAGCCAGCTCCAGCGTCATTGAATTCTACACAAAGCGCCGTAAGCCAGGACACTCGTGCCTCCCCCCTCGCAGTTAGAGCCAGCCGCAGCATGGCTCCTCGAGCCGGCCCGGCCGTTGGGGGATTTTTTTTTAAAGCCGGAGATGCTCCTCGGGCAACGTGCGCGTGCCACCAGCCTAAGCCGCCCCCCCGGGAACGCTCGCGAGCTCTAAGGACATTGCTCTCCCCCTCCCACAACCTCAGTGGCAACTTCCCAGCATTGCGTCTTGACGTCATCGGCCAGGGCGTTCGTATTTAACAGGACGGCCCGGCTCTTTCCGGCGTTCAGTTGGGAGCAGCATCTCGCACTGTTCGCGTCGTGCGTTATAGCGTCTTAAAAGGCTAGACAAACGGCATTATTTAGGGATAACAGCAGCTATCTTTATTACATATTATTATTTTTTTTTGTTTTCTTTGTGTTGTAACCGTAAAAAAAAAAAAAAAAAAGACCTCGGCAGCAATAACCGCCCGACCGACATCTACCGAAAGAATAGCCGATCCTCGCCCGCCTTCCCGATACTACGTGTCCGTGAATTCCAGCTCGAGCGATCCCGGCCTTCCTACACTTTAGTTATGAGTCATGTGGCCATCGAAAATGTCCATGCTTTAGATCAGCAGGTCAGTATGAGCGGGCTCGGGGGGCAGACAATGGCGGCCTAGTCCCCGCCGCCGCCTGAGTGCGCACTTACATAATGCCGGGCCATCCGGCCCCCTCCCCCACCCACCCCCTCCCTCCCTCCCCGGGATCAGCCCTCTCCGGCCAGCCCGGCACGGCCTCCATTTTATCTCCCAGTAGTGGCTGCCGGTAAATGCCGGTGCGTCACTGAGGGCCGGGTCACTGATCTCGGCCGGTTCCTGGTCTCCGGTGGGGGGGAGGGGCCCCGGGAGGCCGTGCCGGTGGCTGTTAGCCCGGGTGGCGAGCCGATGGGCCGGTTCTCCCCGCGGTGTGAGAGGGGGGAGCTGTAGGCCTTGCTGCGGCATTCACACAATGGCGGCCTTTGTGAGAGGAAGGGGGGGGAGGGGGAGACACGCAGTAGGGTTATCCCAGTAACCCTGGGCCTGGGCTTCCTCCTCGCACCATAACCACCGCGCTCACTGCGGGGACTGACCGATTATATCGATTTATTTAATATTCTCCTAGTGTGTGGGGGGTTTATGGAGCAGGATATTCCGGAGTAATGTAAACAGTTCGGGATTTCCTGCTCAGCTTTACGTGTTATATCGGGTCAGTGTCGGCATCAAACTACAGCTTTATTATTGGGCATTTAATTACAATCTAGACACAGGATCCATTTATATATATATCGTTATATACACACGGTTAATGTTGATTGGGATGTGCGCAGTGGAGGCTGCGATGAGCTCAGTGCTGTACAACGTGCTCTGTTAGGCCTGGGCACCAGACTTGCCTGGATCCTTTATTAATAAAGGTTTTAGAGCAGGTTTTTAATACACTTTTAGATTTCCTCCAATTGGAATAGCCTCCCATACCCATGCTATAAACTTGGCCTATAGTATAAATGAATCCGTTTCCTGCGAGTAGATGCTACACTGTTTGTAGCCGTCGATTAACTTGTATTTTTTTGTGTGTGTATGTGGAGGTGCTGTGTATTCTACAATATACCACATCACCACTTTATAAACCCATGAGTAACTTTACATTCCACTGAAATTGACGTTTAGTCTAGAATCACTGACTCATAATTTCCTTTAGCCATTGGCAACTGATGGCTTTAACCTTCTGTGCAGGCTTGTAGTGTAGTACAGCTCGAAACTTTTCAGTTCTACACTTGATCTGTTCTGGTTAATTCTAGTATTTCTAGATAGTTTTGATGTAATAGGTTTTGGTAGTCTATTTTTACAGGGTTATTTGAAGTACAAAACTGGAAAATATCCAGTTTTCAATTTGTCTTCAATCTGGAATTTATATCAAATTATTGACAGTTCACACTTTTATGAATCATTAGCTATGAAATATTAGCCTACCAATTAAAAGGGAACATGAGACATCACAAATTTACTCAAGATCAGCTTTTTACAAAAAATAAATGTTTTCCTCCATGGTTCAGAACAGGGAATGTGTTGTGACTGTACCCATCTTGGGTGTAAGAACTTGACTTTTTTGAGATCATGAAACTACCATAGTGTTGCACTGTACAACTAAATAGGAATTATACCACACCGCGCATGCAGAGTTGGGTTTTAGATTTTTTTTTTTAAATGCTCAAAGTGGCACTGTCACCATCGGGGGACTTCACTGAATTCATAAAGACCCCGTGATGTCACTGCTGGCGTTCCAGTGGCTGGGGTGGTAGAAAAAGGTGAGACTTGCCTTTCCCTTGGAGGCTTGTCCATCTTGTTACGGCAGGTTTACTTCAGAAGCACCACTAGATGACGTCCCTGTCGTACTCTTGCACAAGAGTAAAGCAATGAGGTATGTGGAGGATCCCACGGGATCCTTCATAGACCTAGCCAATTCCCTGTCTTTGGATTGACACTGTACCTTAGAAAGTCAGGCAGAGGAAATACACTACTTTTGACTCTGTATATCTCTTGTCTGGATTGGAATTTCAGTGACTTTAAATTACTAGGGTACTTAAACGGTACAAGAATTTTGGAGTCTGCCCCACCTGAGAGGTCACTCAGTGGTGCCAAAGGTTTAAATGGGTTTGTAAAGAGTTTGGGAGTGTAACTGACACCATATGTCAGGATGCAGTAAGGCCTGGGGAAGCACAGGGCTATTAGCTACCGTGTGAATAAAACTGAATTTTATATTTAAAGGATTCCTGCGCTCAATTTTACATGGTTTTTATATATTTGCCTATATATATTGTTAGCACGTGTATATAGTTTGGGAGGAAAAACCTATATAAAAACTGACATTGACATGACTGCCAAGGGGGAGCAGAAAGGACCACCATAGCGCATGCACTACAGTTGCAATGCAAACTCCCTAGCAGGCGTTACTAGTGCTACCTATGGACTTTGAAGCGGAGTACCTGATGTCACTCTGATCATAAGCCAGCAGGATGGCAACTAGGCCAGTGTTGGCACTGCTGAGGATGTTTGCCCTGCTTGGGGATACATATCCCAAGCAGGGCAAATCACATAAGCAGGATACGGACTGGAGGTGTTACATTAATAGTAACGCCCATAAAAAATAGTGGCGCAGCAAGGTAAGGTGGATAAATCTATTCTAGATTGAATACACAATGTAGCATGCAAAAAATTGGGGACATTTTAGCCAAAATGTAAACTTAGAGTAAAAGTTCACTGTCAGGCCAGGGTAGCCAAATCGAAAACATAGCTGACGTATATAATTTAAGGTTCAGCTTTTTTTTTTTTTGTAGCTTACACTTTAGAACTTGCTTTGAATTTTTACTTTAGTGAATAACCCTCACAATTTTTAACTCAACAAGGTGATGTGTCAAAGGACTCATTGCACTATGTACAGTGAGCACTAACGGATACAGTGCCACTTGTTTTAAGTTGTATGTAAGCTATAGTCCTTGGTTTTTGTTCATGTAGCTACTAACTTGCGCATATTATCTACATGAGGGATCACAAACTGCCATCCTGGGTGTTATTGTTTTGAGTGCAATGATTTCCAGAGTGTCTTGGGAGTTGTTCAGCAACATCTGGAGGAAGGCATTTTAAATGAACTATAAAAACTATACTAGAGGCCTTTACTTATGAAGACTTGCCAACATTGTCAAATGGTCATCTGGGCTGTCATTAGAACCTGGTACCACTGCAAATGTTGCTGTATGTGGAATACCTGGATCCATCAGCTCACCCTGCTTGGTGGCATATAACTTAAGAAATTAGTGAATAGCCTATGCAGTGTCTCTTTATAAATAGCGGTTTTGTTTTAAGCTCTGCTGCATACAAGAGCACTTTTTGAACTACATAGTAAATAGCTTTGTACCACTCTGTATTTGGATATTCAAAGTGGGATGATATCTCCTTTTTTTTGGGTCTGGCATCCATTTTGTCTTTTTTAATACCTTGGTTGTATCTTCAGTAGCAATAATAAATGCAACCAGTAGAGGTCTCTTACTCTAGCAAAGCGAAGTTATTCTACATAATGCAGTAATACTGTGGTCCAAGTGTTTCTTGCTCAAACAATTGATCAAATCAGTGATGGATAGCTTTAGGTACTCCAGCTGTTCTGTTGTAAAGTTTAAAATGCATCTATTTCTCAAGATGGCTCAGATAAGTTTTATAGATGTAGAATCTATTGGAAATAAAATTCTATCCTTATACTGCACTTGTACTATACCAACTTACTTAGAATTACTTAGAGAAAGCAAGTTAGAATGCAATCCGTTATGACTATATGAAGGCAAATGTAAAAGTAACCCTGTTTTCAACTTTATTTTGTAGTTTGCTGGCCTGGGCTTGAACGCTGACGAACAAAGTGGTGGTGCAGCAACTAGTAAGTAATCTTTTTTTGTGTATGTGTATATGTACATTAAATGAAAATAGCTTTTTTTTTTTCTCCCTTTAAAATTCGCTTATTTTCTTACCCCCAGAAGGCCGTTACATTCCCCCACACTTAAGAAACAAAGAGGCTTCAAGACAAGGTAAGTCGCCCCTCTCTATCAAAATGAACACATTCATGAATAGCAAGAACTGATTTGACATTGTCCTAAGTTCAGATTTGCAACAAATTCAAAACTGTTAAACTTTATCCATCTCATTTTGAACAAGCCACGTTTGTAGGAAATTCCCAAGAAGTCTGTCTGAAAAGGGTGGAAAAAATAACTGTTTGCTACAGTGACTTGTGATTTCATGACAGAATGCTAAAATTCCTGCAAAAATAGCATTTTGTATATTTTTCAGATGTAATGTTCAGCCTTTTTCTTGTGCAGCTTGCCAACTATTGTAGTGATTACACTTATTGTTGGTAACCCAATCATGAATACTGTTTTTTGCTTTTTTCTTTCTCCCTCCTGGAGACTCATACTCCAAGCCCATACTATGCCAATGTCGCAAAGTAATTAGATCTATACTATATTGGCATTATCAGGGTTAAAATTGGTCTACTCACAGCAGATGTAATCAGTTTCCTGTGCAGTCATCATACTGTGATTTGTGTCCAACGTGATGCTTCTCATTCAGAAATATTGGGACACACACTGCTTTTTATACAGAAGCATCAAATCAATGCAAACTGGAAACTGAATGCAAACTTCCTTGGCGCTGGGGACTCTCCTCCTTCTGATGTCATCATCTGAATGCGCATGCACGGCAAGAGCCGCGCGCATTCAGCCAGTAGGAAAGCATTCTCAATGCTTTCCTATGGACGCTGGTGTCTTCTCACTGAAAATCAGTGAGAAGCACCTCTAGTGGCTGTCAGTGAGACAGCCACTAGAGGCTGTATTAACCCTAATGTAAACAAAGCAGTTTCTCTGAAACTGCTATGTTTACAGCAGGCAGGGTTAATCCTAGATGGACCTGGCACCCAGACCACTTCATTAAGCTGAAGTGGTCTGGGTGCCTATAGTGGTCCTTTAACTACTGTTATTGGCTGTAGGTTAGTAGCTGGTACATTACCTATTAAACACCGTTTATAGTTCCTTCCAAGTAAAATTCTTTTTGTTGCCCAAAAAATAACTTACACTTCCAGATCCACATTTAGTGATGCAGTAGGAATGGCACATGTCCTTTCTTTAGGACAGGGGTTCCCAATTAATTTTCCCATGGAACACTTTGACATGGTGTATCAACATTGTGGAACATCTCACTGACACGTTGGTGGAGAGCTAAGCAGGGAGATTGCCGCTCACAGCCATTTTGTTTTTAGATATTTTGTTTTTAGATATTTTGTTTTTAGATATTTTGTCTGGAACACAAACTGGGAAACGCTGCTTTAGTATAGCCGTTCAGTCGATGGTAATGCTTCTATTAAAACCTGTAGCTTACTTACAGAATATTGATCTGGCAGTGGTGGTAAACGATATGCAGTTGGTAGGTCAAAAATTATCATTAAATTCATCAATATGCTCTCCAGACCTTAGTGCGAGTGTGTGTGTATATATCAAACTTTATTTAATGCCCCTATTCTCTTAAAGGTCACTTTATGCAGTGATGCAAAAATTAAAATTTAAGTTATGGTAGAGTAACTGAAAATACTTAAAGATTTATTGTTATGTAGGTTATCCACGGTGTCAGTACCCAGCTGTAGATGTATATAAGGGCTACGGTGACTGGTGGTCCCAAAGAACTGGTACGGTTACCTGTCATGGTGTGTTGGCTGTACAATAGCTTGGCCTGCATAAGCTATAGCCATTGAGCTGCCTGTGAATTGCAGTGAGAGCCTAAGTGTTCAGCATTAACAAATCTTGTTCTGAGCACACAGACTGGCTTCATTACTTAATATCCTATTGTCTTGAGGTATGAAGCTTATAAAGCAGACACTTTCTGCACCATACATAGACTAAATTCTATGTCTTGTACAGGTTGACTTTTTTATTTATCTTTTTATTATTTTTTTGTTTAAATTTCAAAACAATCTGTACCCTCTAAATTTAAAGACCAGCTGCAATGCAGGCATACTCTGAACTGTCAAGCTTTTTATGAAATGTTAGCTTTTCTAAATATTCAAACCTAATTAAAACCATTATTTTTAATTCACTTTGAATCAGTTGATTTTTCTCACTTGTAAGACACTGATATCAGATAAATGTACTATACTAATGTGCATGTAAGATTTATTTGTGGGGTTTTGTCAGCTTGCTTTAGCTTGCTTTTAGACACTAGTTATATTTTGGCCATGTGACACATTTGGGTAAAATTCAGGTTTAAATTTTTTTAACATTTTTGTCAAACTGTTCATTAAATTCACTTTTTTCTGACCTAAAGATTCAAATTGGGACTCACGTGGGGGTAATGGCTACATTAATGGAACCGATGGAGTAAATGGATGTGATCGCAGTGGCTTTGGGAGTCGTGGTTCTGGCCGCTCAGACAGAGGTATTGAATGTTTAGCTTGTTTGAATTGTGTTCAGCTCTCTGGAATATGTTGGTGCTTTAGAAATGACTAATTCACTGTTCTCACACCCCTAAATCAGGGCTAATCTGTGATTAAAGGGACTCTCCAGTACCAGGAAAATAAACCAGTTTTACTGGCACTGCGGATCCTCCCACTCCCCCATCCCATGTTGCTGAAGGGGGTTAAAACGTAATGCACATGCGCAACAATGGCTGTGTGCGCACATTAGACCTCCCAACAGGAGAGCATTGTTCAATGCTTTCCTATGGGGGTTCCGGTGACGCTGGAGGTCCTCGTGCATAGTGTGACGTCCAGTGTCATTGAAAACTTTCATGTTCTAAGTTCTAAGAAGCCGGGGGTACCTCTAGTGGCTCTGATAGACGGCCACCAGAGGAGGACTTAACCCTGCACGGTGGTGGTTGCAGTTTAAAAAACTCCAATAATTAAACTTGCAGGGTTAAGGGTGATGGTAGTTGGCACCCAGACCACACCAATGGGCAGAAGTGGTCTGGAGTGTTCCTTTAAACTTGCTAACAATCGTAGTACAGCTATCAGTTTACAGAGCATTCATACTGATAGGAAACATGCCTGCATAAGGGAAACATTTGAAACAATGGATCATGGAAAAAAAAAAATTTAATTTAGGGAAGTGAGGGTAAACTTCATTTAAAAGACCTGTAGACCAAATATCAGTGTACAAAAAGATGCCTGTCTGCAAAACTTGACAGTGGAAGCTCTACTTTTTCCAAACTTTTTTGGTTTGGACCATAAGAAAATAGTCCCTACTTTTTTTTTATTTTATTTTTTTTTATTAACATTTCTTTGGTATTCCAAGAAATAAGAATTGCTTAATTAGAAGTTAAAAATTTTCTTTCCTAAATACTCCAAATATATTGTGAGAGCCGCTTTAATTTTTCTGCATGTCATGCTCAGTATTTACATTGTTACTGTATGTAATTGATTTAAATAATCCACATAAGACAGCCACTGGAGGCAGACTTAGTGCTACAATGTAGCAGCACAATGGGGACACTGCATTCAGACCACTTCAATAAGCTCAAGTGGTCTGGGTGCCTATAGTTTCTTTAACCCCTTAAGGACACGTGACATGTCATGATTCCATTTTATTCCTGAAGTTTGGTCCTTAATGGGTTAAGCACTAATCAAGGCAAATACAGAACTACTTGTATGCATAAACATTACTTGCGCAGTGTACATGTACTGCAAAGGTGCAATTATTTTCTAGCATATCTATGTAGTCAGGACTGAAATAACAGGTAATGAAATGCTAACTGGATTAGGGCTAGTCCCATTATCTTGATACCGATGGCTATTGCGTGCATAGTGCTTGTGTAAATTGTTGGCCCACTACACTGACATTCTTGGATGTATTAACATAGTGTATAATAAGCCATCATGGATCCTTTTGTTTGTTAGGTTTCTATGACCGAGATAATAACTCTAGTTGGAACTCAAGAGACAAAGATGCATACAGCAGTTTTGGGTCTCGTGGCAAAGCAGGTGTATTTAATGATAGAGGAAGTGGAACCAGGAGGTAAGATTCTTTATTCTTATGGACTTTCTCATTTTTGTTGGGGGAGGAACTTATGGTTAATGAGATCTGTAGTCTTCAATCAAAACTTTTAATGCACTGCACAGATGTGGGGTTTTATATCTATTTTGTCTATTAAACAATGTTTTGTGCAACCAAGTAAGGTGAAAGCCCATTCCTCTGCCAAAAAACCTGAGGGTAGTCCTGTGTGCTGTTCTCGCACCTTGGCCACCATCGCATAAACTGGTAAACAACCAAATGTGCCTCAGGTAAGTTCACTAGAAAACTGACTTTACTTAATAATGTAAAGATTAATGGCATGGGGATATTGGATTTTATTTTTATTCAGGATAAATATATATTGTACCTTCATTAAGTCTTACTTGAAATCCTAGTACAATAGCACTGCATGTCAATGGCTTAACGTTTTTTAAATGTGTAATTTATCTCTGACCTATGCTTTGTGCTTAGATCTGATGACCGTCGCCCAGATGGATTTGATGGAGTAAGCAGTCGTGGCGACAGAAGTGGATTTGGTAGATTTGACCGTGGTAGTAGCCGGTGGTCAGATGAAAGAAACGAAGAAGATGATTGGTCAAAACCCCTTGCCCCAAATGATCGCGTTGAACAGTAAGTGTTGGAATTCTGGTATTTCCTGTTTTCTAAACTACTGGTGCAAAGCTGCAATAATCTCTCAATTTTGTTTCAGGGAGCTCTTTTCTGGAGGCAATACAGGCATTAACTTTGAGAAGTATGATGATATTCCAGTTGAAGCAACGGGCAACAACTGCCCTCCGCACATTGAGACCGTATGTAATTTTTCGACTTGTCCTTCATGGGTTTTTGTCTTAATATGATTATTTAATTGATGTGGAACTTAGTTAACTGCAGGAGAATGTAGAAGTTTATAGCCTGTTTCCACACTTGTTTGACCAGGGTTCTCAGGCTTTTACTGTTCTTGTGGATCTTTATCTGTCCTATAGAGAAAATCCAAGTTGTGTCCTCTTTAGTCCTTGTGTAAATAGGGGTGTTCTTCCAGGGCTTAAAACATTCTACACTACTAGCCAGCCTTCAAAAGTTACTTGCGCCTGGAGGATAAAAGCTCATTCACCAGTGGTGAATTTCTACTCATACGGCTAGTGTGGCAAGTGAAAGATTTAAGAAAGGTTTTTACACTTGTACAATAAGATTTTAAATCTTTGCTCTAGAACCTGTAGGTAAAGACTTTTATCTGACAACCCTGTAGGTAAAGACTTTTATCTGACAACCCTGTATCTTTGATGTAAAGTGCTTGAGGATTGGCTATTAAAACATAGCAGCATATATAGTTTGAAATGCTCACATCCATATGTGTTATGAAAGCCAGGTGATGCTAGACTACCTAATGTTTAACTTCACTTTGGTGTGCAAAGTATATTTAGATAAATATATAATTTTTTTAATCCTTTTCCAGTTTCAAGATGTTCATATGGGAGAAATAATAATGGGGAATATTCAACTGACAAGTTACACGCGGCCAACTCCAGTGCAAAAACATGCCATTCCCATAATCATAGAAAAAAGGGACTTGATGGCTTGTGCACAGACAGGTAAACCACTTGCTTCTCTCTCAATGTGCTAATTTGTTTTTTGCAGTCACAATGTTTAGGTTTGTTTGAAATGGTACTTATGGTTTTTGAGTGGGTTTTTTTTTTTTTTTTTGACCGCATGTTTTTGTGCACACAGGCTCTGGAAAAACTGCAGCTTTTCTTCTACCCATTCTCAGTCAAATCTATGCAGATGGTCCCGGAGATGCTGTGAAACACTTAAAGGTATCTACTTTTTTTTTTTTTCTTTTTCTCTTCAATGCTTTCTGAAATGCTTTTTAAACCACTTAAATGTCTAGTCCAAGTATGTTGAGTTAATTTGTGAAGCTTTTAAAAACCCTTTTGGCATCTGTATGTTTAATGTAGCCGGGATGGTGACTTTTTCAGACCCTAATGAGGAAGCCAGGATTGCCTTTCCTTTGTTAGTCTTCAGTGTTTGGGTCCTTGCACCATAACTACAGCAGGTTGTTTTGGTTATGATTCTTGGAATGTCACTTTTTACATAGGTGGATGATGTGAGAAATATTTACAGAATTTTCATAGCTGGCTAACTTTTTTATATTTATTTTGCAGGATAATGGAAGATATGGAAGGCGCAAACAGTTTCCTCTATCACTAGTTTTGGCTCCTACGCGTGAGCTTGCAGTACAAATCTATGAAGAAGCACGAAAGGTACTTAAGTGTTCTGGTGTTTAGAGAAGCACCATTTTAATAAGGAGCGCTGTTGTTGTATCAGTTTTCTTGCTTTAGTCTAAAGCATGTTTTCTTTTAATGCAGTTTGCATACAGATCCAAAGTTCGTCCATGTGTTGTATATGGAGGAGCAGATATTGGGCAGCAGATTCGGGACTTGGAACGCGGCTGCCACTTGCTTGTTGCTACTCCAGGCCGCCTAGTAGACATGATGGAGCGGGGGAAAATTGGCTTGGACTTCTGCAGGTATGAATTCAAACTAGTGGCTTTTGAATTGTTCAATCTGCAACGATTGAACAATATATGAACTACTGCTAATAGTGTAAGCACTAAAACTTGAGTTATACTTGCAAGTATTGCTACTTTTTGTTGCCATGCGCATTCCTATACCTTGACAGCTAGTGTTTTATTTATTCTTACAGATATTTAGTTCTTGATGAAGCAGACAGAATGCTTGACATGGGTTTTGAGCCTCAAATTCGGCGAATTGTTGAACAAGATACAATGCCTCCAAAGGGTGTTCGTCAGACTATGATGTTTAGTGCTACTTTCCCCAAAGAAATTCAGGTAGCTGTTTGACTCTTGTTTTTTGTTATTTATAGAATGCATTTGTCTTCGGAATGTACATTAACTGACATGAAGGCCACTTGCTTATGATCGTTTATTCCATTTAGAATGTTGCCTAAATGGAAACTGTTTTTACATCTGCTCCAACAGATACTTGCTCGTGACTTCTTGGATGAATATATCTTCCTGGCAGTTGGCAGAGTTGGTTCTACATCTGAAAATATTACTCAAAAAGTAGTTTGGGTAGAAGAGTTGGATAAGCGTTCATTTTTGCTGGATCTCCTGAATGCTACAGGTACAAGTTATGTTGGTCTTGGTGGGATATATTCTAATCTCCCCCCTCCCTCCTCCAACCCACGAACACTACTTACTCCACAAAACACCAATGCAGTATAACTTAACTTGTATTTATTCTCTTAGGAAAAGACTCCTTAACACTAGTTTTTGTGGAGACCAAAAAGGGGGCAGATGCTCTTGAGGACTTCCTGTACCATGAAGGTTATGCATGCACAAGTATACATGGAGATCGATCTCAGAGAGACAGAGAAGAAGCACTTCATCAGTTCCGTTCAGGAAAGAGCCCAATCCTTGTTGCCACTGCTGTAAGTGTCTGCTAAATTACAAATCTATTAATTTTGTTTTATAAATGCTGTGACTAAATACACTCTCTGGTATACAGGTTGCGGCTAGAGGCCTTGACATTTCAAACGTGAAACATGTTATAAACTTTGATCTGCCGAGTGACATTGAAGAATATGTACATCGCATTGGCCGTACTGGTCGTGTTGGTAATCTGGGTAAGTTACTTTTCTCTGGCTATAGTACTTCTCAAACATTGTTAAGGATACTTTGTCCTGTGCATTGCTTGTAGTGTAACTTAACACTTAATGCTGCATGTCTATAGTTTACCAGATTCTGGTTGACTTGTACATTCAATATAAAGCCTCTTGACTAATCTTTTTGCAACAAATCTCCATATGATTGGATGTACTTGGGATATTCAGACTATAACAATAGTTGGCTTTGGCATGCAACAAACTATTGGGTAGCTTGTACTACTACAGAAGTAGTATAATCTGCATATTGAAACCCTTCCATCTTATTATATGCATATGAGGACATTTTCTTAGTTGAATCCTTAGTCACAAGTGATTGGCATTAACAAATGTATTTTATTTAACTGTGGAAGTATTCTGGAAGTCATTTGGTTAAGCTTTGGAATTGGTGTGTGATGTGTTGCTTTTTGTTCCTATTTCTTAGGTCTTGCAACATCTTTTTTCAATGAAAAGAATATAAATATAACAAAGGATCTGTTGGATCTACTTGTGGAAGCAAAACAAGAAGTACCATCATGGCTGGAGAACATGGCCTATGAGCAGCATCACAAGAGTAGCACTCGTGGCCGTTCAAAGAGGTAAATGTCTGGTCTTTTTCTAACCTGACTGCAAAATTAGAGAAGGATTTCTAGTTCAACTTGACAAGTGCCTCTTTTCTGATTCCATAAATTAAACAGCCAGTGATTGCTTATCCATATTAAATAGAACTCCTGTATCTAACGTGCAAAATAATATTGCGTACATTGATTCTGTCCTCATAATCCAACCTCAGTGTTAAATATTTTGTGGAAAGTGTTCCTGATTTTGTTCTTATATCTTTTTCTTAGTCGGTTCAGCGGTGGATTTGGCGCTAGAGATTACAGAACAAGCACTGGTGCACCAAATAGCTTTGGCAGCAGTAGCCGTGGAGGACGTAGTAGTGGCCATGGTGGAAGCAGAGGATTTGGTGGAGGTAGGCATGTCTTGACAAGTTTGAACATAGTTTTTGGCAATACTTAATGTCAATCTATAAATCTAAAAGGTGGCTGCTTAGTTGTGTGTGCGCACACCTATTTAAATATTTTTATAGGTGGTGGGGTTGGGGGCTAGTAAAGGGGCATCTGCTGGAGCAACTTCAGATATGGCAGTATCTTTGCCGGTTTGCTTTCGCCACTGCTGAATAGTAGTTTTTCCATCCACAGGCCATAAGGCCTATTAGAATGAAACCTTTAATAACAAATCTTTCATCCAGCTTTAATAGGTAATATAATCAGACCTGGTCAAAACAGTTTGTGCTGGCACGAGTGCAGGGAGAAGCTAGTACAGCCTAGTTTCAGATTTAAAAAAAATAAATTCAGCTACTGGTGGCAAATGCCATATTCTGATGCACAGATGAGCAAAGCAAACCCCTTCTGGACTTCACGTCTTGTGTGCAATTTTTTTTAATTTTTTTTTTTTTTTGTAGGGGTGTCCCTAGTATTTGTATGCTTGTTTTCATTCTATCTGAAACCTGTGCAAATTTCACATTTGTAATAACTGCTCTTCTGTTCACAGGCGGCTATGGGGGATTCTATAACAGTGACGGCTATGGTGGTAATTACGGTGGCAGCTCCCAAGTTGACTGGTGGGGCAACTAAATCTCTGCAGTAGAAATGACTCAACCAAACAAGCTAATATGGAAACCACATGTAACTTAGCCAGACTATACCTTGTGTAGCTTCAAAGAACTTGTACATTACCAACTGTGATTCTCCACAGAATTTTGTTTTTCAAGGGAGCTCTGGGCCATGAAGATAAATTGGGGGGGAAAAAAAGACTTACTCTGGTGTTGAAGACTTCATTGCTGTAGTTTTGGATTAACTCCCAAATCCACCCCTCTCCCAACAACTGCATTTATTTTGACTGAGGATAATTTGTTTAATGTACTGTGCCTTTAACTTTAGACAACTTTTTTTTCATGTCCTGTTGGCTCAGTATTGCTCAAGATAAAGTTATGATAAAATAAATTTATTGAACTTGGGCGAAATCAAACCTTGGCACACAGGTGTGATACAACTCAAAACAGGAATCGTTTCATTCACACACTAATTTTACAAGGAAAAACTTGTGCAGTAAGCATGCATTAGGGCTTCTGTTAATTTGCCACTTTGGGGCAAACACTTTGAAGCATATCAGAAAAAATAGTTCTGATGTGGCGAACTGTAACAAGTTAAGTTCTGATTTGCTCACTCTATCCTGGACAGGTACATAGAACCTGAAGTCTTCTTAATAAGCCATTCCAGTCACAACGGTGTGTATGAACGTTCATGCATACAAAGCACTGTTTTCAGCGAATGCAAGAAAATACAGCAATTCCTTTAACAATGTCTAGGCAGATCATGACTTGTGAGCTAGCCAAATATGGGCCGAACATACAGGGAACATTAAAACAATCTGAGACTTGAAATAGTTTGTGGGAGGTATCATCTTTAAATTTATATATGCCTGTCATGAAATGTGGCAGAATGGCTGACCACAGCAGTATGTGGTTCTGTGACAGGCCTGGCTGATTTTGGTCTAATAACGCATGCTAGTGTTGATGTTTTTTGGTCAAGAGGGTATGAACAGGAAGAATTATGCAGCAGGCTTTATTTTAATGCAGATTCACATTACTCTGTTCAAGCTGCGTTGGGAAGTTAAACAAACATACTTGGCTTACAGTAGACTTTGTAAAATGGCTCCAGACGAGTAAATTAAATATCAATGGTGGTAAAAAATGTACATGACTGCACAAGGTGTCAATCTGCTAACATGTGCAGTTTAGTCAGTTTTAGTTGCATAGGTTTCCATTGTATTTAGTATGTAAATGCTAAATCTGGCCAAAGACTAATTCCCATCTTTTTTTAACACTCCAATGCCACTTGAAATTTAACTTACCGTATGTAGTGAAATTTAAAAACTTGGTGGCATAGGATCGGCAAATTCTAAAGTGCAATATATTATACATGTGTATTGTGCCTTGCGGTAAACTTTTTGTAGGTGCACTTGACAGTATTGAGGTCATTTGTTATGGTGCTATATAAAATATAGGTGGCCCTTGTACATTTTGCCCATAACTTTATAGAAAACTTCTTTTATTGCACATATTGAGAATTTTTATAAGTCTTGTGTGCGTGTCCTTTTAACCTCAAATCTTTTTGTCTCTAGGAGATGGGTGGGAGGGACACTTCTACAGTGTAGGGCAAGATTGAGACTTATTAGGGACCAGGGGTGTATTTAGTTGGGTAAGGAAACTATTTTGCACACAATCGATTTCTAGATACTTTTTTGCTGCTAGTTTTGTGTAATATTTATTGAACATTTTGACAAATATTTATTTTTGTAAGCCTAAGTGATTCTTTGAAAGTTTAAAGAAACTTGACCAAAAGACAGTACAAAAACACTGGCACTTGAATGTTGAATGTCAACGTATGCGTGAAATTATATATTTCGGGGTAGTGTGAGCTTTTAATGTTAAGTCATATTAAACTCTTAAGTCAAATTAAGCAGACCCAGTCTTGGCGATGCAGCCATAACTTTCTGGTGTAATTGAAATTAAATTGGCAATTTAAAATTAAACATGCCAAGGTTTTGATACACTTGTCTTAAGATATTAATGAAACACTTCAAAACACTGATATGAAGTGTCCAGATTCTCAGATGTTTGTTGCGTGAGTTTTGTTTAGTTGTGTGGTTTCAGTTTTTTAATTTAATTTTTTTTATTTCAGTGAATGTCTGGCACATTGCAATCCTCAAACATGTGGTTATCTTTGTCATAATGGAAATATACAGTGACTTGTCTTCAATGATTACATATTAGCAAGTGTATTTTGGCACCATGCCTTTCTTAAGATAGTTTAAAAAAAAAAATATGCAAAGAATGGATTCAAACTTGCTAAATGTCAAAATTGACTATCAAGTCTCTAGTTTAGGAACTGCTTATTGTACTAGTTTAGATGCTTAGCACTGCATGTGCTGTGCATTACTGATTTTAATACAAAAATAAAAGTTGAATGGCAAAAGATTTCTGTCTTAATGTGTTTTATTCACCTCACCCCTCATAATTCTGTTTTTGATTATGCAAAACAAGCCAAGCAATTCAAACACATGCACTACTTCTAAAAGGAGTTACAGCATGTTTAACTTTATAATCCAAGTGGACGTAATTACTTTGTAATGTTTTATAGTAAATGTGCATCTGCTGTAGAAAATGGGTCTGCCACAGGAGTGCTGCAGGTAGCAAAGATTCCCAACCCCTGGATTGACATTCTAGCTACACTGCCTTTCCTGAATAAAATATCTTTAGGCCCTTATCTTTTAATCTAATGCGTTGTTATATCAAGATTTTATGTCTGAGTGCTTTAGGGTGATAGAATTGTTAAGCTTTATGATGCCAAAACTAATTTCTGGCTGTCAAAATGTAAGCAAGCTATCACATTTTAGACTACATGTGCATCATGAAAAGCTTTTTAAAGCAGCTCTGTTCAAAACTCAACAGTCCCGTTAAATTCACCAGCCTATACTGTTTATTTTTGGGGGGTTTTGGCCCCAAATCCTTATTTCAGGTGCTACATCTTCCTATAACTGACAGTGATGTATAAAATTACCTAAATGACTAAACAAAACATAGACCCTACTATGAGGAAAATATATTGTAAAGATCCAATTCTGGAAGAGCAGAGGAAACTATGGGACAAAGGCAAGTTTGGGCTGCCAGAGCAATTTTAACTTATTAACGCAGTTGGGGCATAACTTTTGAAAGTTACAGGGTCAAATTTAACGCTTGAAATTTTCTAGATTGGTTCTGTTGCCTTTTTAGGCCATATGGTAGCCCAGAAGTGGGAATTACCTCCACAACATTTGCAAAAGTAGGCAACACAAATTATTGCAAACAGGGTATGTCCATATCCCTTGGCTGTAATGTAATTACTGCATTTTCTCTGAAAAGGGCTTACTGCAAAGAGCCTGAATGGACGAATTATACTCATAACAAATGCAATAAGCTGTAGTTGTTCTGGTAACTAGTGTTCCTTTAAAACCAGTGACGTGTATAACGTTGATAACTTCATTACAATTGCACCTGTTAAGGCAGCAAGTGAACAGTCAGCTTTTGACTCTTGTGTTGGAAACATAATTAAAAATGGGCGAGCCTCACTCTTTCCCAACAGCAATATTTATGGACCAAGCAATGGTTTTGGGAAACGCCACATTTTCTACTTGAAAAGGCAAACTAAATCTAGAAATCTAAGCCATAACATATATTCTACATCAAGCATGTCAAAGTCTAGCACAACTAATATAATTTACAAACTGTAACAAACATGTATGGGTGCTCTAAATTAATAGGTTTGTGTCACCTCTTCAGTTTGGTAATAGAAATTACAGTATATACTCGTGTATAAGTCGATCTCATGTATAAGTTGAGTGCAGTTTTGTGAACAACAATTGTGAAATATGCTATGCCTCGTGGATAAGTCGAGGGTAAAACTTGGCTATGAAGTTCTGTTATTTTTATAATTATACACACTCTGCATTACATACACTCATACAAACACGCACTCTGCATTATACACACACTCATACAAACACGCACTTATGCGTACACGCACTCATGCATTATGTAATGCAGTGTGTATTTGTGTGTGAACTGGGTGGGGGAGGGCATTTTTAATTTTAATATTTATTTTAGTATTTTTTAATTTTAATATTTACTTTTTTATTTCATTTTTATTTCCGTCCCCCCTCCCTGCTTGTTAGCTGGCCAGAGAGGGGCGCTCTCATTCCCTGGTGGTCCAGTGGATGGGCTGTGTAGGAGGGGGGCTGGCAGAGAGCTATTACTTACCTTTCCTGCAGCTCCTGTCAGCTCCCTTCTCCTCCGGTCTGGTCAGCTCCACTGTAATTCTCGCGAGAGCCGCGGGGTCAGAGCATTGCCACGTTCCGCGCAGCAGTCACACCGCGAGACTTACAGTGGAGAAGGGAGCTGACCGGAGCGCAGGAGAAGGGAGCTGCAGGAAAGGTAAGTAACAGCTCTCTGCCAGCCCCCAACAGGACTGCCGGGCTTGTAATGAGCCCGGCGGTCCTGGTCTGTATTATGGCAATGTAAGTTGCCATAATACAGACACTGACTCGAGTATAAGTCGAGTGGGGGTTTTTCAGCACAAATAATGTGCTGAAAAATTAGACTTGAGTATATATGTTATTTAAGAGTTGTCTAAGGCCAGTGTTACTATTATGAGAATAAGGTTTTCGCATTGAGTCCTTTTTGCTGAGTTGGCACACTGTAGCCCAGGGGGTCATACATGCTTGTTTGAGAGAGCTGACTGAAGTCCTCTGGTTGTGTACCCCTCATTCTCACAAGTGCTTCATTGCAGGTCCTACTTAAGCTGCAGAGAGCCCCAAAAGGATTGGTATCTCAACTAGGCTAACCTTATAAAAAGACATGTCAATGTAGGAGATGCATAAAATAGGGCACCTTTCTAAATAGTGGTTGGCTAAAGCAAAATATATTTTAAATAGTTACTCTAAGCATCAAACCTTAACTTTATGAAGCAATTGTGGTGTGTAGAATTGAGATGTGAGACTGCAGAATCATAATCTATATACCAAAACCACTTCCTTAAACTAATGTTTTGGTGTTTACAAATTCAATTTAAAGGTCCACTATAGTGCCCTGAGGGTGCCTCCACCCTCAGGGTCACTCTCCTGCCGGGCTGAAGGGGTTAAACACTCCCTCGGTGCTGGGGACTTTCCTCCTTCCGACGTCATCAGCTGAATGCGCAATGCTTTCCTAGAGACACTGGCGTCTTCTCACTGTGAAAATCACAGTAAGAAGCGCCTCTAGCGGCTGTCAATGAGACAGCCACTAGAGGCTGGATTAACCCTAATGTAAACATAGATTCTCTGAAACTATGTTTACAGCAGGCAGGGTTAATCCTAGATGGACTTGGCACACAGACCACTTCATTAAGCTGTAGTGGTCTGGGTGCCTAGAGTGGTCCTTTAACTAAATCATATATCATCAACCAGAACATTTACTCTAACCAAATCCAGAGAAGGATTAAAGGGACACTCCAGGCACCCAGACAACTTCTGCACCTTGGAATGGTCTGGGTGCCAACTGCCACTACTCTTAACCCTGCAACTGTAAATATTGCAGTTTTTATAAACTGCAATAATTAATTTGCAGGGTTAACTGCACCTCTAGTGGCTGTCTAGAGGGCACTTCCAGCTTAATAGCACAGAAGTCCTGTGCTAGAGCGTCGCTGGACGTCCTCATGCTGTGTGAGGACCTCCAGCGTCGCTCATTTCCCCAAAGGAAAGCATTTTTAATGCTTTCCTATGGGGAGCTCTAATGCGCACTAGGTCTCCCCGGCTGGTAGGCGGGACCAGTCTCGCCCACCGGCCTACGCAATCACTGGGAGAAGCGGAGGAAGAAGCAGCACCGTGGGACATGTTGCTGCCTCTGGTAAGTTACTGAAGGGGTTTTAACCCCTTCAGCAACCAGGGATTGGGGGGTGGGAGGGAGAGGGGACCTGCAGTGTCTGGCACTGGAGTTTCTCTTTAAGATCCCTGTAACGATCTGTGAGTACTCCGGCTGAGTACCTCTGTTACTTCTCAGCTTCCGAGGGCTATTTTGGGATATCCAAGATCACATTCCTGAATTGAAATATTTGGTGACGTTAGCACTCCCCATCAAGTTTTCTTCCCATAATTCTTTGTATTGCTTGCTGAAAACAGTCAGCCTCACCAAAACAAATGCTCAGCTTCATTTTGTCCATTTAATTCAAACAACCTGAAGCATTCTTCAAATAGGGATGGTTAATGAGGCTCACCAAGTTCATGGTTCCAGGCAGCAGTGGAATTATAGCAGTGGCCTGATGCAAAGAGGGTATTGGGGGGCCATTAAAATGCAAGACAATACTATGGTCCACCTCTAGTGCATGTGTGGCCAAACCTATCAGCTCAAAAGTACTCACGGGTATATTTAGAACCAACAGGACTTAAAGCCCAATACAGTAGGTACGTGTATCTAAAGTTCAAAGTAGCATTGCACTATACCAATAACCAAACTGGTGGATATAGTGCAATGTTACTTAGCACTTTAGATACATTGTGGGGTTTTTGTGTCTGTTTTCTATATTGGGCTTTAAGTCTTGTTGGTTCTAAATATAGTTTTGAGAGCATGGTTTAACATGTATCTGTGTTCAAGTACATAACTATAGTTTAACAGTCCTTGTGTAAAGTTACATGTTATTTGCATAGTGGTTAAGAGACCAGTATTGTATAAAATATATAGATTTAATATATAAGAGACCTTTATTATGAAATGTGTAGAGTGCAATGTTATACTGCACTTTAGATATGTTTTATAATTGGTGTATCTACAACCACTTTACTATTAAGACTTAGAATTAGATTGACGGTTATATAAGGGCCTAGTCTGTTACATCATAGCTATATTGTTCATAGAGCCGTTTCACACTAATAAATCAGTGCACTGTCTGTTGTAAATAGACTGTTTTTCACATTATTTTGAGTTATTTCCAATAAAGTTTATAATTATTTTAAGTTTATCATTGTAGGCAATTCCTTTTTCTTTTTGGTTCTCCTGCCTTTTTAGGGGGAACACTTCTAGTACTTTGTTTCAAATTGTTAAACATAAAATCTATATGCAATAAACAGTGGGTAGTGCTAAATTCATATCCACTTCGCAAATATAAGCCAGAATAACCCTATTAAAATATTCTCCAATTCAGGTTAATTGGGGATTTTGTTTTAACCCACTGTTAAATGAACGGATCACAGGAAGGTTTATAATCTATACAACAAACAAATCAAACATGCGGAATATATTAGATATCATTTTCTTGAACCACGTTAAACTAGAATAGTTTTGTTTTATCTTGAAGGGTTTACCAATATTTTCCAGTCTTGCATTATCAATTTCACAAGTAATCATTTATTATCTGAATTGTATTGTACTATTCTGCAGAATATGTTGGAGCTATAGAGCCATAGAATAATTGTGCGTGTCGGACATGTACTCGGTTTGTAATGGCAAAATCAGATGCACAGCTGTTTTGGATTTGTATATCACACACCCAGGGTTATTTGCTAAAGTGAGAATTCAAAGCAAATGTAATATTTAAGGCCAGACTAGCTGACCTTAAATTTGAAATTTACTTTAAATTATCACTTTAGTGAATAATCCTGTTTATCTACTTGAGACAAGGTTATTTATTTCAGTTTAACTCTCAGCAACAAGTAAACTTTCAATTCTTCTGAGGTTAAATAGATGTATATTAGTACGTTGGTTAATAGCAAAGCTAAATATATCTTTCCTGCTTAAATACTTCAATATTTTATATATTAAGAATTAAATAATAATTTTTAAAAATCTTAATATTGCTGTCTGGTAAATTTTTGTCAATCCAAAAGCATAACGCAAATTGGCAAATCACAGCTCTGCAATCTGTACTGAAATTTTAAAATGACATTGTTTCTGTAGCAGTACTGTTATCATGGATCAGCGCCAAATATTGGCTGGAATACTGGGTTCAACGTAACACAGATTGCATTTATGAGCAATCTGTGCCTTGCTACTAAAGCAATCCCATTCGTACATCTCCCTCTCATAATCCACACTTGATACTGCAGACGTTGCTACCATTAAATGATCTCTTTCAGAGGGATAAGCACTAAATGGACTGAAACAAGAGAAATTTATCAGACAACAACGCACACAGATGGAAAGAAGACATGCCTAGATAACATAATAGGTAGGTTGATACTGAACTTTATTATATTTGTTTCTATTTTTTTTTTAGTTTAGTTTGCATATTCAAAATGATACCAGGATAATAGGGAGGAAATTACTAAATGGAAAAAAATAAATAAATAATTGATGAGAAATGTTTGGCAAATAATTGATTTATTTGAGATATTAAATCTCTTTTAAGGCTGGCTGTGTTGTATTTTTTTTTTTAATTCACTAAATATGTACATAAACATTTAATAAATATTTTAAAATGTAATGATTAAGCATAATATGGTGAATTTAGAAGAGATTGGCAAATATTTACAAAGTAATTCCAAAATTTTCCCAATATTTTAGCTTATTTTTATTTGCTTTTAAAAATTCTGAGGGTTTACAGAAAACACACGAAAGGTAAGGAGTATAGGAGACACGGATTTTATGGTATGCTCGCTTTATAAAATTAAAAAATAAATTAAGATATCACTATAAACATACCTTGGCATAAAAATATTCACGTATATTTGTTAACAGTATAACAGTAAATTGATTACAAAATAAATTTTTACTTTTTTTAAAAATTGATATATTTCAGATCAAATATTCCGCATGTGATGGGTTGTGCAATGTCACATTCTAATGGGAAAAGTGATGTTTGTGAAAATTGTATATGGTAAGCTTTTGTTTGCTCAATATTATCTTAGAGAGTCTGTGATTATATCAAACTACCATATTCTAAATAGTTTTTTCTTTTTTTGTGTCTCAAAGTGTATTGAATCAAAATTTAAAATGTATTATGTTGGTTCATAGAAATTGCCGTTTAACATAAGTTATAATTACAGGATTTGTGATTTGTATGATCATTTTATTCCTCTTTATACCTTTTTCCATGTGTATGCCCTCTTGTAAGTTTATGGTCTTTGAGCAGATAGCTCTGTAGGTTATGTGTTTTATCTAAATGCACCAGCATCATTGTGTCACCTTTGACCATTTTTGCCCACACACTTGTCAGTGCACATTGGATTTCAGATTTTGTTTATTTCTTCCTGCTTTCTGTATTCGCACAGGAATTTCTGATGCAAAATGGCAAGAATATCCTTACGGCAGGGAAAACTCTGAAACTTTATTACAGTACCATCTGCCTGTAGAATTGCAGTCCTGATTGGTTGATAACAGTCAAACGTACCATTACAGTATTATTTCCATGATTTCCTGCACGGTTATTCACTAATCTCTGAGTAGGGTCAACTAGTAATTGACCCTGCTTTAGTGAGAGAAGAGGGTACTAAATTGAAAGAGAAGGGCAATATATTAAGTAGAAACAAGAACAAAAAAGCACAAATGGGTGGTGGTATCTTAAATTTGCACTTGGATCTAGGATTTCTAATGGTGGTCCTGGTAAGATTGTAAGCATAATAGTCTCCAACAGATGCATGTCATTTCACCACTTTTTCCTAACAATGGGCACATCACATTCTTATAAAAAATAGGCTCCAAACAAAAGGGAAGGGGAGAGTAGAGGTGGGCAGCAGTCACCGGGCCAAATAATCAGAGTCCTCTGAAGGCCAAGTCTCACTTGTTTCGAAACTTGCCTGTCAGAGACCTCTGACTGATTAGTTTACTAGCCAACCAGTTAGAGCACTCTTGGTCATACTGTAAAGCTTGAGTTCCCACTCTGCAGCAAGCCCTTCACGGGTGAAGATGGACTATTTTTATTCCGGTGGGCTTTTAGCTATCTAACTGGGATTTTTTTGTGATCGGGCCTTTTTTATTTTAATTAGCGGCGTCTGGAATTATGGATTTTTATTTGGACTTTTTGGATACAGAAAACTTACAAAAAATTGGACTTCTGATGTTAAGTATAATTTCTTTTCTCAGGTTTTAGATTTTTGACCCCCTCCTTACTATTATTAGGGACGGGGAGTAGGTAGGGACTGCTTTAGGAGATGTATATGGGATTGGTGACCCCTATCCACTCATGGGTGGGGGCAGAGGCATAACTAGAAACCACAGGGTAAATTGCCCTGGGGACCCCTCCATACGTCTGTGTGTCAATGTGGGTGTCGGTCAGAATTTGCGTCAGATCATAATTTGACCCTAAAAATTGTTGCAAATTGTAAAATTAATAAATATAATGTCACCTAGAGAAATGGGGTCCAACATCATTATTGAAGCAGTGACCCAAAATCTATATACTTGCCTGTGCAGCAACCCATAACTATAAAAAAAATCTTGTCTTTATAGTTCAGCCTCACAGAGAATAACCTTTTGGAAAATATATGCATTTCTGAAATGAACCTCCATAATTTAAATAAGAAATATCGCACATAGGAAAATGATTTCAATGGCAAAAAGGAAAAGGACTATTTAATTTAATCCATAATGAGATACAGGGGAAATAAACATTTACGTTCCCTTGGGAAATCGACCGCATCTCTTCCCAGGACTCATTTACCATGATCGTAAAATATGATTTGACTCATTATCTAGAACAATTACTTTGATATGATATGGATGACTGTCACCTTTAAAGTAAAAAAAAATGGCAGAGCTGAAGGTTATTAAATGATTTGATTTAATGCATTCTAAGAATGACCAGCCAGGCAAGACCGTTAAGTGACCTAGAAATGGGAAACTCAGAGACATCACTCTGGAAAATTAATGCACACCTGAAACATTGTCTATAATGAAAGGTTAACCTATATTTAACCAACATTCTAAAGTTTCTTTTGAATTGCAGCTATGATTTTAAAACGTTGTTGTCTCTTAAAAACTTCGCTCCTTAGAAGATGTAAACATGTTCTCCCAACTCCTAACTTTTGCTAAATTAAATATCTCAATTATTGTCAACCTGCAGAATTATATCTGCCAGGGCTTAATTTTGTCCCACTGTATCTCTGAAGGGCAAAGATAGATGGTTCTAATGACATTGAGTAGAATACGGACGTACTTTGCAGTCTGTAGTTTATGTTGGCACTATGATCATACATAGGGATTGGTTTTACATTCTGGTGGAATTTTAGGAACCTGCATTTTCAGAAGTACGATCAGGTTCCTTATAAATATCTACAAACAATGCATTAGATCATTTTCATAGAATGTGATGGCAGATAAAAACTGTTTGGCCCATCTAGTCTGCCCAATTTACTAAATACTTACATTATTCCCTGGCCTTATCTTATAGTTAGGATAGCCTTATGCCTATCCCACGCATGCTTAAACTCCTTTACTGTGTTAACCTCTACTACTTCAGCTGGAAGGCTATTCCATGCATCCACTACCCTCTCAGTAAAGTAATACTCCCTGATATTAATTTTAAACCTATGCCCCTCTATTTCAGAACCTAATTTTGTAATACTTTCTGTACAAAAATATAATTTTTGCTTCTCTGCTAATATTTCAGACCACGATTGATATTATGACTTGATAAAGACACACATTGTGTCGATTGTTGTAACGTTGCCAGTGTTTTTAAGTGGCTAAATAAACCCTCATTTGCACCTGAACTATAGAGTGCTCCAGTCTAATTGCTTTAAAATATTGCCAGGTCACAGGTACCATATAGTGTCTAAATGTTTTTATTCCTTCCATCTTTATATAAAAGGCCAATAATAAATAAATCCAAGTAGTGTACATTTGCATGATTGCATTTTTTTTAGGCAGGGGCAAGCAACCTGGTGCAATAGAATGCACGTTTAAGCCAGTGGTGGATTTATAAAAGCAGTGGTCTCTGATGCTTTGTTTTTTCAGCAACCTGCTAATCAGGGAAATGGTGGAAGCTTTAGAAAGGAGTCTCTAAGTCCACCTTCATCAACTCTTCCTGTTATCTAACTTTGATTGGCTCCCAAACACACTGCTGGAATCCTGTGAACTTCCAGTGAAAGAACCCTTTCAAGGCCTGTGTTACTGCTTGTGAGGAATCTCAAAGGCCTACCCAAGCACTGCTGCCAGCATGACACCCAAGGGAAAAATAGAGCCCTTCCTACAAAAGAGCATTCTTTTTAAAATACTTCTGTAGTAACCCACTCTGTTACACACTCACCACCTCACCCCTGATTCATTAACATACAACTACTTACACTGTCATAAAATTGCATATTTCTATCAGATGGTCTCATAGCTACTATCCCTGATAGGAAGGAATTGGATTGGCTGAGATCATCAAGATTGATGATATCATCCAAAGGGGTGGTGCCAGTCATAGAGAAAGCAGCACTATGTGGGATAAAAATTAAGTGAAACTACCTTGGGTTGGGTGGTGGTCACCTGAATTGTGACTAAACCACTACAGCATTAGAGAAACAAATTTGTATTCCTAACGCTCTAGTGTTCCTTTAACTCTCAACGTTCAAGGAGAAATATTGCATGAACTAAGCTATAATAAAATCCTATGGGGGTCAATGTAAATCAAGGCATCAATAGAATATTGTTGGTTAAGCTTTCAATGAAAACAAATCATATATAAAAATGTATCAATATATAAAAAGAAAATCTAAATATTACAACATTGTAAGATTTTTCATAATATTAAATCATTTTAAAGTTTATCCCAAAATATGAAATCATTTGGAAAACTTATCCAAAAAATATAAAATCAAGGCATTAATTGGCTCTAAACATTGTGCGTGTATATCACTAAATAATTTTTGCCTTATTATAATACACAGTACTACACTATGTTTATTTTTATTTTTTGTATATTGTAAATAATTGAATCAAATGTTTTCTGGCACAAATAGTTACCAAATTTTTATGGTACACATACATCACCCTTATTTTGTACTTTTTAAATTTTAAATTGATTTACACAATTTATATATATATATATATATATATATATATATATATATATATATGTATGTAGATAGTGAGAGAGAGAGATTCCCACTAATTAATTTTTATACTTTCTATTTAAAACTATATCCAAGACATTCTTTCAATACATTTGGTGTTTCATTAAAACTAAACTTCAGTTTAGTACAAATAATATGTATTTAAATAATATGTTATCTTAAAGATGTTTAATAATTATGTTCTTCTTTCTGCATGACCGAACTCTTTTTAGCATTATAATTTTCATCATTAAACTTATATAAAAAATTTCTGCTTCATAAAAATCACTTTGGTAATGTTCAGAAAATGCACTATAAATCCTCTATTAAGAGATTGTTTTAGTGTAGCTACATTTTACCCTAATCCAAATAATGATGTCCTCTGACCAGTAGAGAACTTAATGTTATTAGAAAACATAATGTGCAATATATTGCATTAAGAAATGAAGGCAAAGTATTCAGCTGTAACATATGAAACCGATTAAATATAGAACATTAGATTAGGACTGTCTGCTAAACTTGATCTACAGCAGAGTAACGCACTATTACCTGCATTAATTGATATACAATATGTACATTTATGAAATTGGTACAAAGGTGAATAATCTGTAAATATTTAAATTATACATTCTTAAAAAAAAAATATATTAATTTTTGAAAATTGTGTTTACTGTTCTCTGTCATGCAAGCTTAGTAAAAAAATAAAATAAAATAATATCCACATAATTCAAATTTCATGGTGTACATAATGGGCATCTTAAATACATGACTTGCTATGACCAGAGGACGGGACACTAAAACACTGAAAATATTGTTACATATTGTTAAATATTGTAAAAAATATATATATACTCCAAGTCTCCCCTAGGGGGACCCAGAGTCGTGTTAAAGGGACTCAAACAATGGGGTTTACCCAGAATACAATTGTAATAGTACCAAAATCTAAAAAAACTCCTAATGTTAGAAGTATTTAAAAAGAGCAAGTCCCAACACAAAATAAATAAAAGAATACTAGTAAAACTTTATTACGCATAACTATACTGTACCTTGTATAATCAGTCAAACAAAACAAAAAAATAGCTATAACACTCTTAAAATTGCAGGAAAGACAGAGAAGGGTTATCCTGAGAATGTGTCACTCACATTAGTGCAACATGAACCTAACGTGGTTAGTAAGATCCCTATTAAATCTAGATATTCAGCCTGTTGTATACCAATAGGTTATTATAGAAATGCCTGTTTTTTCAAGAATAATACTCTGTAAATAATCTCCAGTGGAGAGATAAAGTGCTCAGTTACATAGGCTGAAAAGAGACATGTGTCCATCAAGACTGTTGATATTAAAGAACAGTCTCTGAGCACATGATACAAAGAAACAAGTCCTGCACTCAAACGCCCATCACCCCTGGGCGGCAGCAATGACTACAGTACACATCAGCTAAAATACATATAGTAAAAACCAAAGGAAAAAAAAAAGTTACCTGCGCTCTTTCCACATCCCTATATATCTTTAAACAAATGGAGACCTTTAGTTACCTCCAATGGCCATGAGAGGATATGCCCACCTGCCACGTCAAGGCAGACCTCTTAGGTGAGTCCTAACTCTAACCAAACCCTGCCTCCTTTGAGCCTCTGAGCACATGATACACTGTATTCTATTCTTCGGTTTGGCATTTTAAATTGTACCTAGTAGGTAACAGATTAGGGATAAGGTGACAAAGTAACAAAAAATATAACATAAAATCTAGGGAATAAACCTAACACACCTGATTCTCTGACTCGATTATTAGCAGTCACAACAGCTCATGGATGGGGGTAAGTAACAGATGGAATAAATCAATAAAGGAGAACGCTCTATGTCTAATATTTAGCCTGGAGATAGGGTACGTAGATCTAATATGCATGGACAAACAGTGGAATACTATATGAAACTCCTCATATAACAAACTGCCACAAATTTCTAAACCAATCCCCTCCCCACACTAGCCGTTTAGTGGAGTGTATTCTCAAAATATCATACTCCCATAACCCAGTCTATACCTATATCCCCATCACACTGTGCTAAGTGAAAAATAAATGAAAAAGCAAAAATGCCCAACGCGCTTTGCAGTGCTTGCGTGCACCATTGTCTGTGACTAGAACAGAGTAACTGGTGCCTGCCCCCTCTAATGACACGTCACAACTCGTTATATGCGATCACAATCAAAATGGTTGGGACTGAACTCCTTATACCCTCCCCACAAAGTGTGGATTCTTCCAAACACCAACAAAGCTATGAGGTGTATAGGATGATGTAATTGGGAGGAGTTTTTCTACTGTGAAACATTGTCTTAGTGACAAACGCTTACCAGCCGAACATCATAAACATGTACAAATTAATGTATTCTATTAAAATCATATTCAACGTGAGATCCATAGCTTCCCTACCAATGATCCTAAGTTATGGCAACATGTGATCTCACCTGTTTGAATCTAGAGAACCAGACTTCCATCATAAAAGTGTGTATATTTATGTAAATTAAGACATTAATCAGTATTAATTGCAAATGCTAGCATGGATGAAAATGTCAAACACTTGTCCCTACAAACAAAAGCATGTAAGTTATATGTAAAATTCCTGGTAGTTGCCATATTACCAAGTCTAAACATGTGGTATGATAATAGTGCCGAAAATCAGTCTATAGGCATTCTCCCATAATTAGCAAATACCCATTAAACAAACAATATATATATATTATAACTGAATAGAGGGTATCCCCCATTATTTTAACTCAATTATGTATAATTTATAACTGGAGGTATTAATTTCCTCATATATACACATACGTTAGAAGAATAGTTCTGGCATTGAAATCACCTGTTAGATCATAAATAATAATACATTGGAATAACATTGTGTGCCTATGGGCTCCCTGGCATTTGGACAAAGTTATAAAAGAGGGATGACTGAATAAGCATTACATTATTGATCTACATTGTTCTGTAAGGGACAACCAGAATAGGTAGTTATCAATATGATTAAATAGTATGTAATGTAAATTTATCCAGAATAATCCAAACACAATATGCAAGTAAGAGAGCAGCATTCACTATGTATTACATCAGTCATGTAAGGAATATTTCATGTTAAAATGGGGAGCGAGGAAACATCCCACTTAAATCAGTAAAGTTCCAATATTATAGGCTTATAGAAAAAGATAGTGAACAATTCCAGAAATGAATAGCTTGTAGAGTAGAACATGAATATAATAGCAACTTCTGGACGCAAATAGAACAGGCATACAAAGCTCCAAAAATACATAAATGGAAGAGAGAATTCTATCAAATTAAAAATTAAACGGTTAGTTAATTTTATTACAGTAGATATCCTTAAAGTATACATCACCCATTGCAATAATGTCAAAAGGACCCCAAACGTTATAAAGAGGAAAACTGACAAAATCCATAATCATGTCCCAAAACAGCTATGTGCAATATATACAAAGTCATAATCAATGGACAAAGGAAAACTAATGCTTATAATTACTTTTTATGAGGTTACTGAATGGACATGGTCCATGATACGTTTCTTGAAGGATCTAAATGTCTTCCCTACATACTTTATCCCCCAGAAACAAGTTAGAAGGCAGATGATTCTGACGGTTCTATATCTGAAGAAATGTTTGACTTTAAAGCGGTAGTTCCCCCCACTGTCTATGAGGGTTTTAGAGTCATTCAGAATAAACTTACAGGCTACACTTTTCCCACATTGGTGTGTGCCTGTAAGTGAGAGTCAGGTTCTCAATTTTATCTCATTAGTCAGATTACTAAGGACCAATATGTTCTTGAAATTCTTACTACACCTGCGATACACCTGTAAAAAGTCAGTTGTGCCCTCTCAAAGGAAACCGTAGGGGAGCCCCTCTCCACTCCCATGAGAACTCCGCTGTCAAAGTCACTTACTAGTTTCATCAAGACGTCTCTAGGTGCGTCATGTTGGGGTGCTGTAGTAGCTCTGGCAAGACTGAAGCAGGAGTCGACTGTCAGTTGCTTGGCTTGTTTAGATGTCAGTAACTTGGCAATTAGCCTCCGGCAATAGTGAGTGAGCTCTGCTCCTGAGATTGCCTCTGGTACTCCACAGATTCTCACATTTTGAGCCCTTGCCCTATCGTCCATGTTGGCTAGTTGTTCCTGTTGGTTAGCACACTGTTTTTGCAGTGCTCCCAGTGCGGCGTCTGTAGCCATTTGCGCTAGCTTGGTGCCCCCTATACTTTCGTCCACCGCTCCCATGCGATTGGTTAACGTGGAAATCTCATCACGGACTGGGTCCATGTCAGCATTGAACGTGGCTTTTATCTCCAGCATTAATGCCTTAATATCAGCTTTTGTAGATGGGGCTGAGTCTCCAAGCCAATGATATCTTAGCTTCCGAGCGCAACCGTGCTGGGGCTGGGGGAGTTAGCAAATATGCTATCCTCATCCGATGAAGGAGAGTTATAGGCCTCACTAGGCGCCATCTTGGATGTATCCGGCCCCATGTGTTTGGGCACTCGGCTGCGTCTTTCAGCACTCACTTGGGGTATCAGATAGGGTGGAAAAGTCCGGTAGATCACTGTGCTCATGCAGAGCTGCTTCGAAATGCGACTTTCTTCCTCAGGCGCTGGCTCCGCCCCATATTAAAGTTTGAGGTGAAATTCCTCGTAAGTCTTAAATATTGACCCACAGAGATACCCTTTTTGAGGGAGGAAGGGTGGTAACTCTCCCATCTCACCATATTATTAGTAGCTGAACGTTTTCTGAAGAGGGAGGTTTGTATCCTCCCTCTTGAGTCACAAATGCGAATTGTATAGTGAAGAAAGTTCAAGGAGGGATTTCCAATTTCCATCATAAATCTCAAGTTGAAATTGTTGATGTTCAAATGATCAACACATTTGCAAAATAACTCCTTTGTGCCACCCCATATTATGAATACATCTTGATGTACTTGAAGAAACCCCTACCTGTCCCTCCTAACTCATGCCTCCCAACTTTGAAACTAGTTAAGAAAATTGACTCCTGCTGGTTGTTTGTTTGTGGTTTGGGAATTTATGTTTCTTTGTGTGTTGACCCATGATTGCAAGTTGACCCATGATTGCAAGTGTTGATGTCTCAACACACTGCCATTGAACATAGTTTTAGTCTTGTTTAATCTCAGATAGAGCAGAGCCTGTGAGTAAGACATATATCTCCTACAGTGCCTGTTCCAAACCCCATCTATCTTTAAAGAATAGTCAATTTGTAGACTCTTACCCAAACTGGAAAGTTAATCTGAAATTATGCAATGTCCCAGACAATATAGTGGAAAGACTAGCTTATGTTTAGGTGTGGGAAGTGGACCTAATGACCTAGGAGACAGGTTGGAATAGGATATTACAAAAGTAAGAAGGGAACCTTACATCTGAGGAAGAAGGGTGGAAAAAAGACTTTATTTTATATAAATAATCATCATTCACTGGGCCGGCCTTAGGACCTTAGACGCCCTGTGCGAAAAATCTTCGCAGTGTCCCTCCCTCCCCCCCCGTCATTCTTTTTATAGTGTATTAAATACATAATGATTTAAAAACAAATATTAATTCCTCTTTTCCTGTTGTTACCTAGTTGGGAGAAGGGCATGCTGATCTGAATCTGGTCTGCTCATCCACTAGGTGCACACCATGCATAACTGTCTCGCAAGCTCAGGGACTTGCAGTGTCCTCTGGTAATCTGCGGCAGTGCTCTGATTGGCCGGAGCTAGGAAGACAGCTACTTATGGTCTGCAGCCAACAGAAGTGCATGCCAGATGTGTCAGACTGCAGAGTCACATGCACACAGTCCCACAGTCAGATGCACACAGTTATACATATACACTGTCAAATACACAGGATCAGGCAGAAACACGCAGGTACAGGCAGTTACACACATAAACCGTTACAGGCAGACAGTAACACACAGTTACATACAGTCACACACACAATTATAGGCAGTCACACGCACACACAATTAAAATCAGACAGTAACACACACAGTTACAGGCAGACAATGACAAACACACACAGGTACAGACAGACAGTCACATACAGCCACATATAGTTTCTCTCTCTCTCACACACACACACACACACACACACACAGTTACATGCAGTCACATACACAGAGGCAGACAGTCACACACACACACACAGACAGCTTTACACACAAACCATCACAAACACAGAGGCAGACAGTCACACAGGCAGATAGTCAAACACACACACACAGACAGCTTCACACACACACAGAAGCAGACAGTCACACAGGCAGATAGTCAAACACACACACGCAGAGGCAGACAGCCACACAAACATAGGTACTCACACACACGCAGACAGTCACACACACACACACGCAGACAGTCACACACACATGCAGACAGTCACACACACAGGTTCTCACACACACAGAGGCAGACAGTCACACACAGGTACTCACACACACATAGGCAGACAGTTGCACATACTCACACACACTCACAGATAGTCAGTAGATTTCTTATATGTTCCTATTGATAACTACCATGTGACTTTTCTGTCATCCACCTAAAGTGATTTGAAACAAAACAGGCACAATCCAATAATAATAATAGTATCTGAAACCAGTTATAATTAGCAGAGAGTATATACTGGCTAATAGCATTAAGGAAACAGAGTTGTGTGTTGTATGCCATTGAATTGTATTACATATGAAAAATATATGTATATGTAACTCTTATGTAATAAGGGAGATACATTAAAGTTCCATACTTTATCAGACAAAGTATCCCAATAATCCCTAATTACCTCTGTCCTTTATGGTCTGGGAGGAGTGAAGGCAGTGAAGCTCTGGTTGTTGGGGAAGCAAGGTCTCCTTCCTGCTTCCCATGCAGCCGTCATTTAAGCTCCGCCCCACCATCATTTAAGCTCCGCCCCATCACAATGCTGGGAGGTTTTTTTCTAATCCCGGGTGGAGAATAATGAAATCCTCCACCCGGGTAGCCGGCCATGTGTGAGCTGTGTCAGCCACATCGCACCCCCTGCTCCACGGCGCCCTGTGCGGCTGCACAGCTCGCACACCCCTAAGGCCAGCCCTGAATATCATTATAACAGAGTGATGAAGCTTTAGAAGGGAACCTTGTGTCTGGGAGGAAGAGTGGGAAAGTAATATGACTGCGTGGAAAGAACGGTAAACAAGGCAGGATTTCCCTTTAGACAGAGTAGGCATTTGCCTACAGGCACCTGTCCTGTAGGGGTGCCTTTTTACAGTAGTTATAATGTTACTTTTTGGAGCTTAGGTGGGTTGGTGACAGGAGATAAGTGCCAAGATCCTTGGCCAGTGTCCCCTGTAGTCTAGTCAGCCTCATCTGCTTGATAAAAGAGATGCAGTAACAGTTGAAGATGGGTTAGAACAAAGTACTGTCCCAGTTCTTCCAGTATCTGTGTGTGTCTCGAAAGGAAGAGTAAGGGATCATTTCCTATTTAACAATAACAGCCTCTCACATGGGATATGCCTTGCAGACGGAGTATGGAAAGCATTGAGTTATTCACACTGTAGAACAGCTCCTGCAATTCTACTATCAATCATAGCAGGGTGAGTATTTTGCAAACTCTACATACATAAACAAACTATTTCCTTAGTCCCAATCCTTTTAACACCCTATGTAATCCAAGTCTAACATTAACCCTTCTATACTCTTAAACAACCTCCATTACCAATCGTATGTCTATTATGATCATGAATGAATGTGGGAGAAAGCAATGATCTTAAAGGGACACTATAGGCACCCAGACCACTCCAACCCATTGAGGTAGTCATGGTTCAGTGTCCCTATTGCCCTTAGTCTTATAATATAAAACATTGCAGTTTTAGAGATTTTTACATTGCAAGACTGAGACAGCATTTAGTGGCTATCTACCAGATAGACACCATAGGTGCTTCCGGGATCTTACCAGAACTTTAGGTCCCCTAACTGCATGAAGACTTCCAGTGTCAGCTAAATCCATACAGGAAAACATTGAAGCAATGCTTTCCTATGGTGACGGCCTAATGTGCTTGCAACACACGCTGCGCATGCAAATTAGCCCCCCCGTCGGATGAAGTTGGAGGAAGTGGAGTTCCAACCCAGCACCAAGGGACATAGGCATTGGAATTGGGTAAGTGACTACAAGGTTTTTACTACTTAGTAAAATAACAAAATGTATCTAAATAAATCAATAAATAATGTATGCTTGCAATCAGGCCCACAAAGTGCCTATAGTAGGTACGTGCTTACGGATGGCTGCCTTACCTGCCCATCGGCTAATCGAGCTCTGAAAGTGTCTCTGTTTAAAATAAACCACAGCGTTGGATAGCTTTTAAATTTATATATGACAGATAAAAGCAGCATGATTAATTTATTTCCTGTAGCTAACAGAAGTAGCTCCAACTCTTTATTATGCAGAATATGGCTGCAAATTACAATATTAGCTTGCAATGCCTCACAGACTCCTAAAAAAGGTTTCATTTTATTGAAATTGCATTATAATGCAATTATATCTGAACAAATCTTACAACATGATAACTGCCCATTGACACACATTAATGTCTGGTAATTATCATATACTAGCTTACTGTCCAATGCAAGTGGCCTTAATACGCACTGCAAGCATGAATAAGGGAGACTGATAACTCCAATTGCAAAGCCCTGCTTGTAAAATGCAATGATAGACCTACAGAATATTTGACTCTTTCACTTGAAACTTGGTGAAAAGTAAAATATTCAAATTGAAGCACAGTAGTATATTAATACATTGACAACCTCGGCAATGTTATCAGTGCACTGGATGAGTTTGGGCACTATAATACATTGCATGCAGCAGAGTCTGGAACTTTTTAGTCTGGAGAGGAAGTGCACTCAATGGAGATATTTTGCACACACAGCGCAAAATTCACTAAATAGTGAAAAACCTACGCAGGTGGTAGTATCTTCATCTAGACTTGCCTCAGTCAAGTCTTAGTGCTGCTATTGTGTAAATATTTATTGGAACGAAGTCTCAGCATTAATGCACAAAGGCACACACACTTACAGAATGGGACTGCAAAGGGTTGAAATCAGATAATCCATCCTCTGTGCCTGCGAGATAATTGGATCAGGAACTGTACTAATCCAGGAGGCTGGTGTTCTCCCAAACACGTTCAGTGATCACTGTTTAGTGTACTGCGTGCGCAAAATAAAGGCTATTAAATCCTCTCCCAAGGTTAAAATAACTAGGTCCTTCAAAAGATTTAATCTTGAATCCTTTTTTTTTTTAAATTCTTTATTTTGGTAGTGCATACATGAACAATACGCTTGCATAGCCACGACAGCTATAGCAAGCTGCAATCAATAGAATAGTATAACAATAGCATGGCATGTGAGTATCGGCACAATTTTTTTAAAAAGGTTATATAAAAGATTCAACAGAATGCAGCCACTGAAAATAGGATAGAGAAAGAGCAATTTCAATCCTGGTCGTATGGTTAGTGTCGGCGTATATGCTTATGGACTGGAGTATGCCTACAGTGGAAGGCAAGGTGCATGCTTATGTGCCTCTTGAGTCAAAAGTGAAATGGGACCCTGCGTTCTGAGGGAGTATATTAATACGCCCGTGTTGTGGATCAGTTAGAAATTCCAGTTATAGGCCGTGTGTAAGGTCGTAAGGCCTTGTGGACAGAGAGGGCTGTGCACGGCCTAGATTGTCGTGTGAGTGAGAGGATAAAAGAGGATATTGACGTGCAACCTGGTAGTGTATTTGTGCAGCTCCTAATTAGTGATCTCGTGGTAGAGTAAATGTGTTGGAGCTGGGGGGGTTTTGGTATTAAAGGGAGCCAATTAGTCCGGGTTCTGCCCGGTTCGGCGGCAAATAAAAGCCGTATAGCAATCCTGCTATGTGTGTGTAGGGGTTTCTGGGTTACCCCTCAATAGGGCCTATGCCCTGGGAGTAAACTTGTACGTTTACAGCGGTGTGTATAAGAGGGAGAACATTAAAACAAAACAAAAAGCAAAACAAGAGTAACTTAAAAGTCCCGGTTCAGGTAGTCTGCTCTCCGAGCGCTCTCCTGGATGCTGGAACAAATGGGACAACTTTAGTCGGATCCCAGGTTGTAGCGGTTGAAGATGGCCGTAGTCCCATGTCGGTCAAGACAGTGTCCATTTCTGCGACGTCCGTCGCTTTATATTCCTTGCCTTGGTGTTGGATGAGGAGTATGTGTGATGGTCCCCAGCGATACTTCACTCCCTTAGCCGTCAATGCCGCTGTAAGTGGTCGGAGAGATTTCCGCCATTGCAGTGTTGTGCGTGAGAGGTCGGAATAGAACGTTAAGTCCATGTCCTCAAAGCGGTATGGATTTTGTCCCCTGATGGAGCCCATTAAGGCAGTTTTATCTTGCCCATTTTGAAATTTGACCAGAAGGTCACTTGTCGCTGAGTTTGCAAGTTGTGTCGGCTTGGGTAAGCGGAACATGCCATCTAGCTGCACCCCTTTAGCTTGTTTGGGGGACAGGAGGGCTGTGAAAAGCCTTCTGAGTAGGTGGGGAAGTTCGGCTGGGGCAATTGCGTCTGAGAGGCCTCTGATTTTAATATGCTTCCACCTCCTTTTGTCTTCCATTGCTGCTAGTTGGTGGGTGAGTGTGATGTGGGCTGAGGAGAGGTCTTTGACCTGATTCTGCAGCTCTGTTATTTGTGCTGTTTGTGCCTGGGTGGATTGCTCCACTGCTGAGAGGCGATCAGTGAACCCCTTTACATCCTCCCTTACCTGGGAGATCTCTGCAGAGAGCGACTGGCGTAGGTCAGTCAGGAGAGAGGTAAGAATCTCCGTAGTGATTGGGGAGCCCATCGGTTGTTGTTTGAGTTTAGGAGGTCCCTTGTACCCCAGTGTCTCAGGGCAGTGGAGGGATGTTTCGTCCGAGCTTTCTGAGAAATCCTCATATTCGGCCGCCATGTTGGGCGCCGCCGCGCCATGCGGCCTCCTCAGTAAATCGCCGATATCGGCCGTAAATCGCGGGCGATCGGGCCGCGGCTTTTTGGTCTTTCTCCCCATATCAGGGGGAGTAGTCGCAGGCCGTCTGTTACCAGAAGGGAGAGCTTTTGGGGTCTTTTTCGTCCGGTTTTGGGCTGCGGTCGGCAGAGAGCAGGAGAAGTGCGACCGTTCATGCCGAGAGCTGGCTCCGCCCCCCATCTTGAATCCTTTTTAAATGACATCAAGAATCTCCCATGGCACAGATTAAACATTATCCCAGATCTAGACTGTGCTGTTGAATACTTTCAGTCTGAACTCCTACAAATTTGGAATTTGCATGCCCCGCTGCGTAAGGTGAGGGTAAAAGGAGCGCATATGAACTGGATCACAGCTGACCTCATCCAAATGTACCAGTTTCGGGATTCTTTGTGGTCAAAATTTAAGCGTACTGGCTCTATGAATGATCACGGTGCATATAGACAATGGCGAAATATATGCACAAAACAGACAAAACTGGCCAAGGCCCAATATTTCTATGAAAATCTGAACAGTAACATCTCAAACCCTAGAAACTTTTGGAAAGTCATAAATAAACTACAAACTCCCCCAATCCACTCCCAACCCTCCACTGTCAAAGTGGGTAACCAAACCCTGCAACTTCCCTTAGATGTAGCAAATGCCTTTAACAATTATTTTGTCGGATGCTCTACTGCCCTGATTGCCAAGCTAATAAATGACACGCATCCTGAAACTACAAATGTGGATCAGGCCCCACTAAATTTGCAAAGGCCCAATATAGATAAGTTTAATTTTAGACCTGTACCTGTTAGTGTCATTAAAAAACATCTTAATAATCTAAAAATGAAAAACCAGTCCGGACCTGATCAAATCCCAGCAATGCTGTTGAAGCTCAGTGCGCCGGCAATTGCTAAACCCGTCTCAACTCTAATTAACGAATCATTGGTGTCTGGATACATACCCAAACTTTGGAAGACTGCGAGAGTAGTGCCTATCCATAAAAGTGGTGACACTACTTTGGTTTCTAACTATCGCCCAATATCATTGCTCCCGGTATTGTCAAAAATCTTAGAAAAATGTGTCCATACGCAACTTTGTGAGTACTACCAACAATTAAACTATCTGACCCCTGATCAATCGGGCTTTCGCCAGAATCACTCCACTACAACTGCCCTCCTAAAAGTTTGCAATGACATCCAAACTGGCATGGAACAAGGAGCCCTAACTGGAGCTATTTTCCTTGATTTTGCTAAGGCCTTTGACACAGTAGACCACGACATTCTACTGCACAAACTCGAAAACTCAGGTATTGGTGATCATTCTTTAAACTGGTTTCGATCGTATGTATCGGATCGCTCGCAATATGTGTCCATTTCTGACAGTGACTCCCTCCCTCTCCCGGTCACGTGTGGTGTTCCCCAGGGTTCCATTCTCGGCCCCCTACTATTTACATTATTTATAAATGATCTGCCTAATGTCTGCCAATCCTCAAATGTACACATGTACGCAGATGACACGGTAATCTATGCGAGCAAATCCAATCTACCTCAACTTGAGGCTTTGCTCCAAGACCAGTTTACAGAGGTAGAAAAGTGGATTGCAAAAAACAAACTCTTCCTGAACACTGACAAAACTGTCACAATGATCTTTGGAACGGTACCTAAATTAAACAAATTACACAATCCCCACCTATCCATCAAAACAAATTCAAATGGCACACTGACCGCGGTCCACTCTTTCAAATACTTGGGTATGATATTAGACCCCAATCTATCTTTTAGCCTGCACATAGAAAAGCTTGCATCTAAACTTTATCCAAAATTAGGTGCCCTGTACAGAAACAAAGCCTGCCTAAGCCCTACAGTAAAGGAAAAGATTGTACAGCAAATGCTGATGCCAATCATTGATTATGGGGATGTAGTATATGCGTCTGCATCGCAATCCCACATTAATAAACTCAACACATTGTATAACTCGTTCTGCAGATTTGTGCTACAATGTAATTACAGGACCCATCATTGTGACATGCTAAAGGAACTAAACTGGCTGTCGCTGGAATCCAGACGCACCCTTCATCTTTCCAGCCTTGTTTTTAAGAGCTTTTCTGGGAAACTCACACCCTACCTGAACAAAATGCTTTCCCCAGCTGTTCCCACTTTCTATAACCTCCGATCCAGTACAAGCACTTTACTTAGTCTACCTCAATACAAAAAGAAAGCGGCCCGATCCTCCTTCTCCTACAGAGCGCCGCAATTGTGGAACGACCTCCCGCACAATTTAAAATCTTCCCTAAGCCTAAAGTCATTTAAGAGATCCCTCTCTACATACCTCAAAACAGAATGCACGTGTCATGGTTGATTATATATTTCCTGCCTGTTCTATGTTAAATTTTGTATATATTGTGTATTAATATTGTTTTTGTATTTTGTTGTACCTAATGTAACAATGCAATGATTTGTGGACCCAGGACATACTTGAAAACGAGAGAAATCTCAATGTATCTTTCCTGGTAAAATATTTTATAAATAAATAAATAAATAAATTTTTACAAACCCCCCAAAATACCTTAAAACACACAAAACCCTCACAAGCCCCCACATATCCAAAAATCACCCAGATCAGTTCAGGGTTTCAGGAATTTCCTGGAAGTCTTATTTTTGACTGGCCATGCACATGGTCCTATGCCCAAAACAGTTCCAGGGAATCAGGGCTAACGGTCGGTCTCTCTGTCTGAAGTACAAAAGTACATAACTCACATGAACAGAGCCTTTTCAGGTTCATTGGGCAAGGTATGTTGCAGGGCCCATAGTCCTGAGGCAAGAGGCTGGCCAGCAGGTCCCTCCAAAAACACGTGACGAGGTTCAGTTCGTCACAATATATATTATCTGTCCCCAAGAGGACCACATTTACTTCTGGAACCACCATCAGCACAAGAAGCCGTTTGGAGTTGTCAAAATAGGTTCCCATGGCTCAACACCAATGGCGGATCCAGGTGGGGGGGGGGGTAACGGGGCAATTGCCCCTCCCGAGAGCTGATTCTCTCTCCTGCAGGGCTGGTGCTAGCCAAGAGATCTCCCTTCCCTGTCCGTAGACACAGTGCTGGGCAGCCGGCAAAGGAGGGAGAGGAAACCCGGGAACTCTAGTCTGCAGCTACACCAGGTCTCCTCTCACGAGCATGGAGCATTGCCTCGGTTACCATGGCAATGCTCCATTCTCACGAGAGTAAACTCTAGCCCCCACATATACACACTGCACCCCCATACATAATCTATCACACACTGCCCCCACTGCACCCCCATACATAATCTATCACACACTGCCCCCACTGCACCCCCATACATACACTGCACCCCACATACACACTGCACACTCCCACACTTCTCCCCCATACAAACACTGCACCCGCATACACACACTTCCCCAACTGCACTCGCATACACATACTGCCCCCACTACACCCTCATACACACACTGGCCCCATACACACAGTGCTCCCACTGCACCCCACATATACACACTGCACTCCCATGCACACACTACACCCCTCACACAAACATACACTGCCCCTCCTACACACAGTGCTCCCACTGCACCCCCATACACACACTGTCCCACATACACACACTGCACACCTCGCACATGCACTGCCTCCCGTACACACACACACACACTCTCACACAAACATTGATAGAGGCCCTATCCCCTACTACAGCCCCTATCCTGGCAGACCCCAGGTAAATTGTCAAACTAATAAACAGTTTGACTATTTACTCTGGGAGGGCGCAACAGCACTCCTGGCACCATTACCACTACAGAGAGCTGTAGTGGTTATTGTGCCTGGATTGTTTCTTTAAATAATCTGAGTGCCCCTCTCGAGATAAGGCTCTGGATCCACCAGTGCTAAACACCAGCACACAAGGCCAATATCACTATAAACCAAACATGCAGTGGTAAAAAGCTCACTAACATTGGACTTTAGTGCAATGGAAACATGTACTCTCCAATAATAAGTTACACTTCATCTTCTGGCAGCTGAGCATCTTCTTGTCTTGGCAGACGACAGCAGAACACACATTGCCTCACTGTGTGGTTCCAACTGTAAAGGAATAATGGGCCTTGAGCTGTATTTCATAGTTTTCACGTTAGTTTAGGAAATACATTTTATATAAATACAAATACCATGACAAGTAAGGACTCCAAACAGCATAGTGTAATGCAATTGAGTTATTGATATTATGATTTTATCAATGTCATGATAGATATATTATTTGCATAATAGATTTCTAGAACTTTTAATAGCTTGGAGTAAATATCCTATAAATGCATATTGTTTATAGTGTTTTCATAAATCACAGCATCATAGGTAAACAGATATGTATTCATATTACTTATAACATTGTTTGATTACTTGCTTCTATATTTTACTTGCATGTGTGTGTCTTACCTTTTTATTACTGAAATACTAACTTGGCATTAAACATGTACAGTATCCTATATTGGATGTCTTACTAGAATGTTTGGTCTCTTCCAGCTGTTCTTTTTATCCAACCAATTTACACCATATGGGCTTGCTTCCGGTCATGCCCATCAAGTTGTGTCTGCACAAATGAGAGGAACTGCTCTGTTTTATGTGATCGATTGGGACTCCCAGAAATCCCGAGTGAATTTCCCTGTGAAGCTTCCTTTATTACCCTAGATAAAAACAACATCAAGTTCCTCTCAGAGAAGGCTTTTGGCACTCTGCCTTCATTAAAATGTCTGTCACTGACTCACAACAACATATCCTTCATCACCCCAGGGGCTTTCAAAGGGCTACCCAACCTGACTGAGTTGAAAATGGCTCACAATGACTACATTCGTTATTTGCACACTCGGACATTCTCAGCGCTAAAGAAACTTGTAAAGCTGGATTTGGCTGATTGTAACCTTTTTAACATCCCCGACAGAATATTTATAGAACTTCCCTTTCTGAATGAACTAATCTTCTTTCAAAATAACTTTAGAAGGATACCTGGAGCCATCAGGGGTATGAGGAATTTGACTCATGTTTACCTGGAGAGTAACAAAATTGAAGCTGTGGCTTATAATTCACTTCAAGATCTCACAAACTTGAAATATCTCAACCTTCAAGACAATAAAATAAATGTAATTCATGATATGTCTTTCCAAGACTGCAAGAGAATGGAGTTCCTTTTTCTTAATGACAATTTATTAAATGAATTACCAGAAAACTCATTTAAAGGGCTGAGAAAATTAAAGCTATTAAACATGGGTGGGAATTTTATAACAAATGTCTCCAATGTATGGTTTCAAGATTTATTTGAGTTAGAAGTCCTCTATCTTGACCGAAACAAAATAAGTTACATCGAAGAGGGGGCGTTTGAAAATCTTACAAGCTTGGTAGCCTTGCACTTAAATAGTAATAACTTAGCTACTTTACCCTTTGATGTTTTTAGGCCTGTATATTTTATAGGAAGACTTTTTCTCTTTAAAAACCCTTGGGAATGTGATTGTAGGATTGAATGGTTAAAAGACTGGATGGACAACTACAAGCTTGTCCGTGATATTCCCTGCTCTTCACCAACATCTGTGACAGGTGTTGACCTCAGCAGTGTCATCTTCACAAAGTCACCCGATGGTATGTGCTTGGATGCAGCAGAACAAAATTTGTCATATTTTATTTCCTTTCCCACAGAGAGAGTGCCATCTACCATGGAATCAAAGCTGAGCAGCCTTATCTCCAAATTACTTAGACCTTTAGGCAATTATGAAGATCGAGGAAACCTAACAGAGAGTTTTGACAATAGTACCTTTTCTGAAACTAATGACACTGGGCTCTCTTTGAATACAGTACATTATAATAAAGGAATGATGTGTTTTGCCAGTCTTGTGATATTTTATATGTTCTAGGTTACTGTAACTTTTTAGATTTTCTTTTATTCCCTTTGATATATTATGAAATCCCTGCCACCTGCTTAAACAAAAATAATTATTTTATGATAAAATATGTGCTGAGGGCTTAATTGGCTACTTCTATACAAATATTTATTTCAAGTTATATGCATTTACAGCTTGTAGAAGCTATGTATTAAACTGTTTAATAGCACATTATTTTTTTTATTAATGCTCTACTAAAGTAGCTAGTTTTACACCCACTTAATAGAGGGAAAATATAGAGCTAAAACTTGCAATAGTAGGTAATACTGTTCCTGTGGTTTAATAACTCTAAAAGTGCTGGTGAAATCTAAAATATATTCTTGTGGGTACTTTTAGCTGTCAATCTACAATATATAGTACCTTTGATAATTTATTTGGAGCATTGACTGATATGAAGAAGATTGAGAATTAAGGGAAAAGTTCCAGAAAGGAACACTTTTTTTCCCCACTGTTATCATTAAAAATAAAAAGCATTTTTGTATTTTCAGTATTTTGAGTGCAGTATCTTATTTATTTTGGTTGTCTCTTTTTAATGGTAATGGCTTGTGACCGTAGACTTTAAGCTGTGAGATCACTGTGAAATAATATCAAAGTAATAATTTTTTTTTCTTACCTTAATTAGTGCCTGGACTGATACAAAGGTCTATTTTAGGGCTACAACTAATGATTATTTTCATAATCACTTAATTTCTGTAGATATATTTGTGAAATGTCAATCTGTGCAGGCATGTGTGAATGCTGGGGTGTATGTGTTTTGAGGCTAATGTGTGTTTGTGTACTGTACATGCAGGGGTGTATGTTTTAATGTGTCTGCAGATGCTTGGGCATATGTGTAGTCTGGTGTAGTCCTTTACTGCTTGAAAAACAAGATGGCTGGAAAGGACACGTTACCTCTCACTGCCTGGGCAGTGACACTGCCCCACACATAATACACTGCCCCACACACACACACATACACATACATATTACTCCCCCATACACACTGCCCCCATATACATTGCCCCACATACACACACACTGCCCCGACACACACACACACACATTGCCCCAACATATGCACACACTGCCCCCCCACACAGTCCCCCATACACACACTGCCCCCCCACACACATACACTGCCCACACACAGTCCCCATACACATTCACACACTGCCCCCACACACACACTACACACACATACACTGCCCACACACTGCCCCCCCCCACACACTGCCTGGACACACACACACACACACTGCCCAAAAATACACACACTGCCACACACACACACACACATTGCCACACATACACAGCCCCCCATACACACATTGCCCCACACACCCTACACATTCACACATTACACCCCCCCCCACACACACACACACTGCACCCCTCACACACACCACTGCTCCTATGCCCTACTACAGCCCCATATACCAGCAGACCCCAGGTAAGTTATCAAACTGTTCTTTAACAGTTTGACTACTTACTCTGGGAGGGGGTCCCAGCACTCCTGGCACCATAACACAGAGCTGTAGTGGTTATTGTGCATGGATTATTTCTTTAAATAATCTAAAAGTGCCCATCCCGAGATCAGGCTCTGGATCCGCCACTGCTGGGCAGAACATGCTGTAGCCTCTGTCCGTGGAAGCCTCTCTGCATATATATAGAGGCATGGACAGACCATTAACTGTTGAAGGGCGGGTAGCTGCAAACCTATTTCTGTATTACAAACACAGAGGGAGAGAAGATAGAGCACCGAGCCACCAGCCTGGCAGCACAGAGTTTGGTTCCTCCTTACAGTTGAGACTGGGAGGAACATAGCCGTGGAATGCAGCTCAGCAGTTTGCTGGACTCTGGCAATAGCTTCAAATTGCACCCACTTAAATATTGAACAAATAGTTAATGAAAATCCTTGACAATGTCAATGTCATTTGCTTTAGTTTTCCTTAACAGGAGCTTTAGACCTTGCCTTAACCCATACCCTGCTTTTAACCTAAGCCCAGCACTGACCTTCACCCGAAACATGGCTTTAATCCAACCTCTTCACCCGACCCAGTTACTGGAAAGAGATATTAATTTAAGAGATCAATGTGAAAGACAATAAAGGGATTACATATTGTTGTGTTATGAGTGTTAAACTTCTAATGCTTGATTTTATTCTATTTAACCCTCATCTTAATCTTATTCCAATTGCATACAGGGGAAGCACATACACTATACATTTTAGTAACCATTATAATAGGCCTAGCTCTCAATAGGCCTAGCTCCCTAGCCCTACCTCTACCAGAAAGAATGAATAAGCCTGATTAAAGCTCTTCTTAATGAGCCTGATTATAGCGACTACTAGGACTTAAAAGGACACTATAGTCACTACAGCTACTACAGTTTCAGAGAAAAGGCAGTCTTTACACTACTGCGTAGGGACACTTTCAGTGGAAGTCACTCAGACGGCCACTAGAGGTGCTTCCTGGATTAGTGCTGCACGACATCTCTGCATGAAGACGCTGAATAGCTGGCCGGCCACCTAAATTGTGTTTTTAACACTATAGGTTCAGGAATACACATTTGTACTCCTGACCCTATACTGTACCTTCAAGATTAGTGATCACTGTGAAGACATTTCAAGATAACCACTTTCTTTTAGCTATCCTCGCCATCAAACCTAAACTTAATATTGTTCTAGGTTTAAACCTGACAAGGAAATGTGATCCTGCCCTTTTAGAGTCTAAAAGCTAGCTGAGCATCATGGGAAATGTAGTCCAGAAACAATTTATTGTGTCAAGGTTAGCCATCACTGCACTAGCCCTAACCACTAACCCGAAATCTTACTTTAAGCCTAGCCTTTAATCTGCCATATCGATGGAACATGGCTTTCATTAAAAGATCAAAGTGAAAACCAATAACAGAATAATGTTTTCTTTCCTGTCACATCTGTAAACATCTATTATTAGATTTCATTATATTTAATATTAATCCTAACCTCATCACTATCCCGTAACCCATCACTTACCCTAATTATTTCCCAAACCTTTACAATAGGCCTAGCCGTACACTTCACTAACCCTAACCCTGGATCTAACCCTGAAGCTCAAACTAGTTTGACTATCGCTTTGTTACTAGGATTATAGAATGATAGATTGCTCTTAAAACACATGAAATCTATTTCAAACTATGTAATTTTACACCCCATTTATAACATGCAGTAATATCCCACGGATAACAGCACTATTTCCTGTATACCTATTCCCCTTCAGTTATTATCTGAATCCACTTATTGTCGGTTATTGTGATCAACAGTACATTTTTGGACCTCACTCTAGTGGGAATTCTTAATCAGCTCCACCAAGATGCAAATGGCTTTGCTTTCCCAGTCCAGCACTTTATAAAGTCAAAGCATCATTATGATGTCATGCATTGGTAGTCTGTGACATGTGTGTTGTCAACACCACGGAATGTTTACATGCCAACAGTTGCTAAAGAGTTAAAAAAAACATAGCCATATTACTGGGGCCTAACCGTAACACTTCACTAACCCTAACCCTGGATCTAACCCTGAAACTCAAACTAGTTTGACTATTGCCTTGTTACTAGGACTATAGAATGATAGATTGCTCCCACTCTAGTGGGGATTCTTCAGTTATTGTCTGAATTCACTTATTGTCTGTTATTGTGATCAACAGTACATTTTAGGACCTCACTCTAGTGGGAATTCTTAATCAGCTCCACCAAGATGCAAATGGCTTTGCTTTCCCAGTCCAGCTATCTATAAAGTCAAAGCATCATTATGATGTCATGCATTGAAAGTCTTTGACATGTGTGTCTTGTCAACACCATGGAATGTTTACATAGAGTTAAAAAACATAGCCATATTACTAGGACCTAAGGTGAGTCATCACTGTAAAGGCATTTCGAACTTACCACTTTATATTGGCTCCAGCAGTGCCTAGTTTTTAAATAAAGGTCAATTGTTTTTTTGGAAACTAGGCACTGATGGAGCTAAGATAAAGATTGCATAATATTCTCTGTCAGCACCCGAGAACCAAAAATCTATTGCTGGATTTCATTATATTTAATCCCAATTCTATCGTCATGTCTAGCCATAAATCTATCACTTACCCTATTAATTTCCCTAACCATTACAGTAGGCCTAACTGTAACACTCCGCTAACCCTAAGACTAGGACTGTAAAATGATGGATTGTTGTAAAAACATATGAAATCTATTTCAAACTGTTCTAGATAATTTACTGCAAACCAATTAGTTTGAATGACTATCTGTTCCTGTCCAAATTAAAGATAATAAAGTTGCGTGCACGCAGAAGTAAATTCACACTGAGACACAAGGTTCAGGGTAATGAAAGAACTTCAGAGAAGTTTAATGGCTTCTGACAGAAAATGGGTGCGCAGACCCTTATAAAGGCATTATTACATCATTGAAGAAAATCAAGATATAGACAAATAGACATTGTTAATTGGCTTAGGTGCTAAGATGTTAGTAAAATGCCCTCCCCATTCTTAGGTCACTATCTACGTAATTTCTTAACTCCTACAGGTTTTAGCGCCATTTTGTTAAAATGAGGAGCTCACTCGACGGGAGGGGCCTTTTGGCAGCTATCCATTTGGAGCGTAGCTGGCACTTGTTAGTTTCTCAAGGTTAAGTTTCAAGGATTTTAGTAAATACACATTTTATCAAAGCTATTTCTTGCTGACATGCAAATTCTATGTTCTATAGACAAAGCTTCCTTGTAAAACTATGGGGGCCTCTTAGAGGTATAGCAAGAGGATTTAAAGGGGCCTTACAAATTTATAGAGGCCTAATAATTCTACAACAGTCCCCCCTAAAATGTTATTTGCTAAAAGACAAAACTTTATTTGTTAGTATCAGAAGAAGTATTAGCCCAAAGACACAGAAACCCCATGACCGCTGACTTAGTGTTAATGCAAAGTGCAAGTCTATCCCTCTCTTGACCCTAACAGGCTGCAGCACATCCGTCAGTACGGTTCAGGAACACTCTTCACTCCGCTGGTAACCCATAGTGGCTTATCCACTACTTCTCCGTACGGCAGTCTACCCATAAAGACGGACGCTGTCCCTGTACTGTCCCTTCCTAGACTTTCTGCACTTCATCAGTATAAGGGAGAGTTTGTAGCGGAATACAGGGTGAGATGAGGTCTTGATCATCGATTGTCAGATGAGTGAAGGTTGGTGTTGCTTGGTCTACAGTTTTCTGCAGGAATTTCCTTAGGCATGGGAGGACACAACAAATGAGAAGAGCGAGAATAAAAAGAAAAATTAGTAAGGCAATACCAATCTGGACTAAAGCTCTCTGCCAACCAGTCATCCAACCAAACCATTTTTCCCAGGGATCAGTAACTCCAGAGTTTCTCTTTAACTCTTCTGAGAGTCTATTTAATTTAGCTATGGCCAGAGTGACTTTACCATTAGGACCTGTGTTTTCT